AGAGTTGCCTGCAGAATAGGAACAGGTGGATAATCATATTCTAGCAAGCAGAAAAAAAAAAACCCTAAACCATAATTACTTCCATAATGTTTTTATCAGCCTTCTTGTGCTTTGGGTCTCAACCCCAAATCAGCTGAAGAAAATGAGGGCACTCCCACTAACTTTGGATCAGAGCCTAAGAAACTTCCATGAAAGGGATATTGAGAATATTTTCAGCAATCTGCAGCTATTTTCACTTGCAAGAGTTGCTTTGCTTGGGGCCCAGAGAAAAATGAAAATAAAAAGGGAGTGGAAAAGATCTAGACCCTGCAAACACCAGGCTTTGTGAGCGACCCTCTCCTGCGTAAATACCCAGCCTGTCATCAGGAGCATTATCTGCCCAAGTCCTTGCACATGCAATAAAGCTTTATGTCAGAACTGGTACAAATGCTCAAGTGACTTSTCACCCCGTTGCTTTCTAATAGCACTTTGATTTAAATTACACATGAAACACAGGAAAAATGKTTTTTTCTTCAGAAATGACAACATGAGAAAATACAAAATCTGTGCATAACCAAGTTTTAAGCAGACTAAATCACTTTTTTTTTTTTCCACAAAGAAATACTGCTTAGGTATATTTTACATGCAAGTACTCTGCTACCTGGGATTTGACTTAGACTTTCCTGTAAGTATCCTTAGGTCTCAAAATGCAGCCCACTGAAGGAAACTGAAACAGAGATATGCCCTTTCCTAGCTTTTACTTCATATAATGCTAATAYAGGAAAGACTTTTCTAACAAGTAATATCTTCACACAAACGAAATGATGTCTCTTAAAAAAAAAAAACCCAATAAATCAAAATTTAAAAAGAAAATGAAAGCAGCCCATATACCACAGCAAGGCTTCCTTAAATAGGGTTTAGTGCTCAAGCATTATTATTTTTAATCTATAAAAGGAAAAGCAATGTGTCACCTGAATGGGTMCTGGCTGGATGCGCCTCTCTGTCTCAATGAAAGCAGATGAGCATTGCAGCGAGCAGCTAAGGAGAAAAAGTTCACCTGAGCACCACTGTATTTAAGCTGGCCAGCCAAGATTATAGAGCAAACAAGCCCAAGACCTTAGTGGTTGCTTCCAGTGCTATCCTGCCCCAGCAGGACTGAGTTAGGAGGATGCTAAACAGCCTTTGGGGAGCACCTTGCCTGTAATAGCAGGAGGCTGCCTTGCAGGTCCCGCTCCTTGCTCAGCCACAGGTGAGGGAAGCCCAGGCTAAGAACTGCAGAGAAGGGCTAAAAGGGGCCACCTGAGTCCAGAGAAGGCTTTTCCTGCAGCTGGGACCTTGCTTCAGGAATCCTGCTACATTTTTTAGGCAATATTTAATCAACCAGTCACTAGAACTGTCCTCTAGCCTCTTTTTCTAGGGCTAAAGTATAAAGAGATCAAGCAGAGAACAAGTGTTACCTCCCAGCACAGGCAGACACAACACCCAGTTGAAGCAGTGGGGCAAATGGCTCACAACTGGTTGGACACCAAGCTTGGTTTGAAAGGCCCCGGAGCTGCTGCTGCCGAGCCCAAAGGTTTCCTTTTTGGCTCAGGTGCAGAAATGAACCTGCTGYCTCCATCCTTTGCACCTGACTGGGAGATCACTGATGCAGATAGCAGTCAATTTTCCTCAGCTCCACACAAAGCAGTGTCAATGACATTGTGATTTACTCGTTCTTCGCCTTCTTGGCAAGGCTCGCTTGCTGCTATTTATATAGTGAGGTTTCATTCCTTTAAGCAATGTGCTCCTTGCTCCAGCCTGATGGCAGGGAATAACAGCGTGGTTTCATGGACACTTTAGTGCTTATGTCTCGGCTGCTCCTACTCTGGAGTCCAACCTGCAATGGGAGCTTTTCTTTATSCACACAAAGTAGACCAGATGAGGGACAGATCTAGGTCAAAGATAAGCTTTAAACATGTGAAAATTTAAATCTTTAAAATAAAGTTTAATTGTAAAAATTTAGTTGTTTTTATCCCAGATCTATTCCCTGGAAACTCATAGCCTGTTGTTGGGCCTCATACATGTTTTTGCCATTGCATATTATGGAGCAGGCATGGAGAGCACCAGGCATCTCCAGAGGCAGAGGCTAGCCTGATCTATAGAGTTAAATAGTTTTATCCACCTCCTTTCTCATAAAATACCTGCCTTAGCTCTTTCCTTCACTTGCTCCTCTGTGAGATTTGTATGCTGTTTGCAGTGAAAGAAGTAAAAAACACAATATTTAAAATTTCTATGGTGCTTCCCTGGGTTGTAAATATATGGACGTGTTATATGTGTAATAGCTGAAACCTGTCAGCCTACACACCACCTCCAAGTGTGAAGAGCCAGTCTCCCCACACATATAGAGGAGCAACCGTCGCTATTGTAACTTCTAAGGATACATCACCTGCATTGCTTGATGACTTGAAAATATAACTCTACCTTATTAGAGGTGTAATAAAAGTCCCCTACCATATCTGCAATTATTGTCAATAGTAATAATGTGTATTACTATTCATGTACACATATTCACTTGTATGTGAATAGTAATAACTGAGAGATAACTGCAGGAACTTCGTTAAAAACAGCTCTAATATAGTTTTGTAAGCTACTTYTGGAGCTGAAAGAAGTAAAAGTCTTACCTTGCAGACATCTCATCTCCAGGAAACCTCTGTCTTTTTAGTGTACTTCAAAGCCTTGGCCAACTGGAAGCAGAAGCTATCAGAAACTGCTGTAGAATGTGTTTGGAAGCYGACTCCAGCACAGAACTTTAAAGAAATGAATTTGGCATCTGAAAAAAGGTTTTGTGGAACTGGCACTTTCTAAGCAGAGGACACAGAGAAATTTGGCAAGGTCTGCACATACATTGCCGAGATTTTGTGTCACAAAGGGGTAGCCCCAGATCTTCTAACTCCAGCTCAGCTCAGGGCTGACTTGGAGGTCCCCCCTTCACAGGTCTGGGATTAAAACAGTGCTGGGTAGCCTAGGCCAGTCTCTGCCTGGGCAGGTGAGTGTTAGAGATTGTGAGAAAGCTCAAACATTCAGAAAACCTCCGTGATTTTCTGCATTTCTTACTGCCCACCAGCGAAAGATAAAGCTTTAATAAAGAGAGTTGTCAGGAAATTAGCATGGGAATGTTGGGAAATGAGTAATTATGCCTGCTTTAGATTATTCAAATTGAAACACTTTTAGAAAGGAATCATTTGGAAATGGAAATCAATGATGGTTGGCACCATGCTCAGAACAGTGCTTTGGGACACAAAGTACACAAATGCTCTGCTGATGTTTTGGACACCATGCAGGGGAACTTTCCAAGTGATTTTCCACCGTGCAGCAAGGAAAATACTGCTTTAGCCTTATAAATTTACTTATTTATGTGTGGACATCTTATGCAAACATCAGCCAAGCAGGAATGCCCACAGCAGATAAAAAGCAGCAACAGAGAAGGAAGAAATGCTGCCACTTCAGGCAGAATTTTATCTGTTGAAGTTGGAAAGCATGGGATGCTCTGTATCAACAAAATCTTGTTTCTGTATTTGCCGAAGGATCAGAATGATTGTCTTTAGCTTCATTTTCTCCCAATAGCTTGCTTGTGTAACCATCCTATGTTCATATATTAAAACATGGGGCCAAATCAAGAGGTTGCTTAATTGATATTTTGAGCTAGACATTAGTAAACATTATAGAACACAGGGGAACAAGTCATTCCACAGGAAAAAACAAGGTAATAAAGGGAAATCTGTACTACCTTACCTACCCCTTCTTGTTGCTTTTGCTTTGGTTTTTCTAACTATATCTAATTTCTTCCTCCTGCTTACACTGAGTTTCTGGTACATGTGATAGTTTACACCACAGTTACACCTGTTCCAAACAGATCCTTGATACTTAACAGTGAGAGCACAAGAACAGGGCATTGAGCAGGGCATTTTTACTCCAGGAAAGCCACTATGGAATAATTGGTGTCTTGCACATCAAATATGTAGAAAACTTTAAAATTTGATCAGGAAAAGAAAAAAATCTCCACCATTTCTATTGGATTCACTAGATTTTCTGAGAGAAGATGTTGCCTGTAGAAGGCAAGGAGATTGCAAGCMGATATTGACTTTATTATGCAATCGCCTAATAGCACTTTTCTGAAATATCTGGAAGTTTTGGTGCTTTGCAAAAGTCAGCATTTTTTTAGAGCAGTTTAAGCCATAAAATAGACAAGCAGACATCAGGGGAAAAATAAGAATAGCTGTTCCTTCRCGATTTTTGAGTGATTGGACTCATTTCCAATTTATCCTGTACATGATTTATTATTTAATCTCCTGCTTTACTTGATATTAGCAAACAAGATCTTCATAATCTGAAGCTTTGTTTTCCCTCCGTTATTGATGCATTTCTCTCTCTGGGAATGGATTTTTGCAAAGTTTCTACAGGAGAGATCAGAAAGCAGGAACAGTTGCTGAAGAGTCTAATGACTGTGCCAGTTTTCCCCAGCGCAATGCTGTTTCACTGCTGCTCTTAAGCACATTCCCAACCTTGAAAGGCAAATCAAAGAGAATTTTAAAATAAGGAATAATATTAGAAGATCAAATATGGAAGGGTGAGGAAAACCAGACAGGATCCAGCACTAAATGGAAAGACAAAAATCAAAATTGGGACCTTGTATTCATGATGCTAGGACCTGGGTGTTCCTTCTGATTGTTGTATTATAAAGAAATAAAAATCAATAAAGTCACCAACTCTAGTGTTGTGTGAGAGAAAAATAAGGGTAGCACTGGGACAGCAAAGTTCCTGCATTTTTTTGGCTTTTATCATGTGCCACATGGGATAAGTATTGCTTCCTTTTTTCCATTTGATCTCTCTGTAAGAGTATTTTCATTAGTTTTACTCCATGATTTGAAGAATTGAACATAATAAAAGAACTCTTTCTATGCGTTTTTTTTTKGGGCAACATTTTATGACTTTTTTCTTATAGCTTGTTATAGTCCATGTTCTTTTTTGCACATAGACCTTAGCACAGCTAATAGAAATTTATTTGATGAATGTCTCGTTCAGTAAGTGCTTGAAAACCATTGGCATACAGAGTATTAAATAACTAGTAATGTTCTTGTAAAAATATATTAAGCAAGTGAGAAAGCTACACAGCTCTTGGATGAATAATAGCTGTGTGAAATAACTCCTGATAATGCAACAAACAGTTTTGGGGTGCTTTTTTCATTTTTTTGGAGTAACTACTGCTTAAAAAAGGCAACACCAGTGTGAGTGTAGAGCAGAAGGAGTTCTCTGGGCTCATTTCCTTGCAGTCCTTGTCGAATAGGCTGCGTTGGCTTGCGGAGCAGAACAACCGCAGTGATTCTCCAGGGAGGCTGCGGAAGCGCCGGCCCATAAAGTCCTTGCTGGCTGCTCTCTAGGAAAAGTTTGGGAAGGAATAAGAGAACTTTTGGAAGTTGGGGAAGGAATAAGAGAACTTTTCAGCAGAGCACCTATAGGAGGAATAAAAAGTAGTTTCCACTTACTGCAATAGAAAGGAAGGCAAGAAGGTAGAAGTGATCGTGGGCACCTGGGACCCTGCCCCGTGTCACCCTTCCTGGTCACCTTGCCCAAGGCTTTGTCTAAACCCCCCCCAAAGCAAACAGGGCCGGAAAGGGCCTGGGGTAGCGACCATGTTGCAGCCAACCCATGTCCCTCCAACCCACCCATGGGATCTGCCCCACGCCAGAGCCACCTTATGCCCATTGAGCTGTGGATGTGCAAAAGTATTCGTATTTACTCGATCTCTATTCGGCCAGTAATGACTCCTGACACATTTCCTGCAAGCTGATGTTGTTTTTCCTGCTTGATTGGTGTGATAATAATAAATACATTTATTATTCATTAAATGATATCAATGTGCATTAATATGCATTAGTATTGCTGCGTGACATGCAGATCGTGGCCATCCCATACCCTTCTCATTGCGTTTGTCATATTAACAGGTAAATATCATAGTTCAAAGTTGCTGAGTGTGGTAAGGAGCAGGTGACTTTCCTCACCATATGTTAGTGGCTAGGTCATGATGAGAGCTCTTGACGAAACACAGCGCTGAGGATCACATCCCTGCTCCTGCTGGGACACTCCTATGAACTGGCTGGGTGAGAAGACAAGAAATTTAGAGGGCTGTTGAAAACGTGAACGTTTGCATAAAGGGCTTCATCCCAAGAGGCACCTGGGTTGCCAGATGATGGTGCAGCCCGTCACCCTCATTCGTGCAAGATAGCCACAAATCCCTCAAAGCCAGAATGCCACATTCTTCACCACACCACGCACTGGTGAACATCTCCTTTGCTAACCCCACTGCAGTTAGAAGCCTGAAGCAGACCTGAATCTACTTGCTGCAGCTCCTGCAAATTGCTCATTACCAAAAGTTCCCCCTTTGATACATTAAATCTTGTTTCGATAGATGTGTAGTAAGATCAGGCATTGACAACTGAGCTATTGTTTCAGGCAAATGTTCCTTAACTGGCTGTGTGAACCTGTGCTCTCAGTAAGCAGGGGGTGAGATTTACTACTCGGCTCCAAAATGAAAAATTCTTACGTAACGAATCCAATATGCACAAATGAAATGCTCTTTGAAAGGTTCTGTACTAGGAAGAAACATCTAGCAAAGTGGATTTCTGTCTGCTTGATCCAAGCTCACAGTTCTTTAACTGATTTTGTAATTACTCTTGCAAGACAAATTGATTTGAGTTTCTAATGACTGCTGGGTCAGGCTGGCTGTTTATTTGCTTAATTAATTAATCTGACCTTCCTCCCATTTGATACTCAGATGACAAACATTCACTTTACCAGCTGTTTGGATGATAGTCTGAAACACTTAAGATGTCAAAGGCTTTTTATTAATTCTCTAAGTAAGTTACTCCTAGTCATTTTTTCCCAAACGTGCCTGGTAAGCATGGATTTATAATGTGTTTTTTTCAGCTCAGCTTGATATCATCCGTCACGTGGATTTAGATTAATGTTTACACATTGACCTAGAGGTAAGAGATAGTTGCTACTTTTTGAGAGATGAGGAAATTATTTCAATTCCAGGGAGGATTTCATCTAAACACATTAAAGTTGGAAAGTTCCTCCTTGCTTAACCATGCCTCAGCTTCCCACCTTCCAAAGCCAGAACTGGAGCTTAGAAAGCAGGGAATCCCTACATTCAAAGAAAAGCGTCTAACAGCACAGGCCATATTTTAACATGCCTATGCAGTGTTATTTCCTAGCTAATCTCACTACTAGATAAAATCCACTTCTGAATGGTCTGCAGGTAAAATGTTCATTCAACCCAGGAAAGATTCCCCAGGTAGCTTTAACATATGGGTCTGTTATTTACTCAGCACATCTCTCGAGGGCTGCTGACCTTGGTAACGTTACGTGGACCAGATCTTTTGTGAGCAGGCTCTCTTACACCCTTGCCACACTTCGCCTTCTTTAGCAAGAAGCTAATATGCATCTCTTCTAGCATGACACTTGGTGTATTTACAAGAATTAAATTTTACGTCTGTCTCCGGCTGTTTCCTGCCATCTGCCCAGAAAAGCTGCAGGTCCAGTTTGGGTTGTTGTGCAAACAAATATGGGAATAAATCTTAGTTTGCAAAGTTCAGTTTGCAAAGGAGGCTTAAATAAGAAGCACAGCGTGTCAACTGCAAGTCTGATTTACAGACTGGTGAAACCTTGCAGACTTCTGCTGTTAAAGCAGCTTCCTTACAGCTTTGGTTAATATATTTCCCTTGGATCTAATGAAAACTTTCATTTTACTCAGAAAACAATAGAACAGATTATATGACTTTGTTTGTCTACCTCTAGAAGAACTCTTCAATTCTGCTGAATTTTTGGAATTGTGTGTCTTGGTGTAGTTCACTCAAAGTTGTTCTAAGTACCTAGTTCAAAGGAGAACAGGCTCTATCCTGCCCTAATCCCTGGGCTTGCCTTAGCTCGTCCACGATAAACCCTGCACGTCTCACACCTTTGCATCCTGACCCACACACACGGGCTGCTAGAGGCACACAGGTGTTTGGTTGGTCATGGGGAACATAGATGTGAACTCTGGCCCCTCAAAGTGCTCTAATTACATGTAACTACCATCTTACATTGCATGTCCTGAGGCCTCCCTGTTCTCTTCTCCATTATTCTTTCGTATTCTCTTGAGAGCTCTCATTTTGTATCAGTATAGAACAAAAAGAAATTTCAGAAATACTAGCTTCTAAACTTAAAAAAAGTCCTTCAGCCATCTCAAACAAATAATTCATGTTAATCCGCAGTGACCATGGGCTTTATTACTCATACGAACTAACCAATGTCAAAAATACCCAACAGAGTGATGAAAAACAATAATCTTTCATCACTTAAGACCTACGCTGAACCATGGAGGAGTTTAAAGGCTTGTTCTCCTGCTTCACTCTCCCCTTCCTCTGCCAACAACTTGTTTTATGAACCCTAACTTTTGCTGGCATAGGATAGAGTAGGAGTCACTTGTGAGGCCAGCACTGATGGAATAACACAAGGCAGAGCTGCAGCTGAGCAGCAAAGGGCGAGTGCTGCTTTTGGGCTGAACATCCCGCCTTTGCAGATGCTCCCAGCTCAGCCATGGCATATTGAGCCTGAGGGAGATCTTGGAGTCATGCCCAACCCCGACACATAGCAGTGGGATATCTAGAAGACTTTGCATGGAAAATAATCCAAGGGGAAGGAAAGAAGAGCTCCAAGGAGAACTTCAGCTCTACGTTTGCACATATACAAAATTTCACCATAGAAATGCRCATATATAAAATTTCACCATAGAAAAAGGCCTTTAACAAGATATGATGAGGGTMTATATGTATTTTATATATTTATACACACACACACACATATATATATATATACACACACATCTTAAAAGTGTATCAATAGGGAAAAAAAAAGCTAATGATAACTTGCTACTTGCCTAGTTTTAAAGATCATTGACTAGACGCTTGGTACAGAGCTACATGCCTGGAGAGGTGTTGTTCACACAAAAGCAATTGCTGCTATCTTTTTCAAGACACGTTGATTTAGGGATGCAATTATTATCTGTTAGATGCTTACTTGTTTCTGTCCTCAAGTCAAGTGTACTGCAAGATAGCCAGCCTCCGTTGCCCGCATTTGCAATTAAATACACTTCCAAGACCACAGACATAAATTGAGTCTGCGGCAATAAATAAATAAATACCAATCAGTGGTCTGGCAGAGACCCACAGGGACACAGCTTGCCTTATTGCTCGTAGGACCAAGCTATTTGAGTTCAGATGCCTTTTATGCATGAAAAGCTTTTGAGGAATCTCATTATTATTGTGCTGAATAAGTAACTATAGAGATTTATCCTAGAAGGATAAAATCTTCCTGCTTTCAAAAAAATCAGAGCTAAACCACAAAGATGTAGTAGATATTGAAACTGCAATTGCACTGTGAGTTCTGATGCGACTTTAATGTATTTTTAATAGGAATTTTCCAGGTACCAGCCTTCTACTGACCTTCTACTAGTTCTGTTGAATGCTACCTAATCTCTTATTGTAGAACACGGTGAATTCTGTGTTCACATTAACAACCCAGCCTGTGATTTTGTAAAGAGCAAACATACTCTTCCTCATCTCCCTTCTTCCCAAACCARAGAGTCTCATTTTCCTTAGGGATTTGTAAAGCAGCAGCTAACTCCCTTGACCGTTTTTCTTTAACCAAATGGGTTGCTTGCAAATTACAATGATCTTAGACTACTGGAAACCAACATAATAAAAATAGCTTTAAATGAATATCCAGTGTTGAGGCTTGAAACACACGTTCTGAAGKTAGTGTGATCTCTGCAGAGAAGAAAGGACCTTCCAGACTGCTGAGTCAGAGCAGGCAAACCCTCCTTGCTCGCTGTGTATTAGGTTCACTCAGAAATGCCTGTGGCTAATGGTGCATTAACAAGGCATTGGCTGTAGAGCACTGTTGGGTGCTCTGCCAAAAACACAACCTTTTATAAATTGAACAAATACAAAGATTCTGGCAGTCTCGTTTCGAGCGACCCGCTGGCAACCTACTGATCTAGCTAAAGACGTGGAGATGGAATGTAATTGCATACACTGCTTTTAATCAAGGACCAAATTTCTAATAATCCACTGAAGTAACAAAGAAAACAACATCAGGCTGTAATACATGGCTGGAATCAAAGCTCCTTTCAGGGCAGTCTTAATTAAAGAGTGTCTCTGGCTGCATGTTCTATAGAATAATCAATGAGCTTCCAGCTGAGGAAAAGACCTTTCTTGATTTGATGGAAAGACTGCACATGCATTTACAGAGAGCGCAGTCAGCAAACGAAAAATAAAAAGGCAGGTAAAACTCAGGCCCTGGGCTGAGTATTTGGTAATTCCCTGAGCCCCAATATAGATTGGCACAAGTTGGATGGAGGGAATAAAATGGCATGAATCCTGCACAACAACCCAAAATGAAGCTATGGCCAAGGCTATCGGTGGCACAGATCCCCCAGGGCTGCAGTATCGTGGTCCAGCTTGCAGCAGTCCCCAAGGCTAGCCAGGTACTTGAGGAGTGCAGAACCTGAGCCTGCCTCAGAAGCAAGGAAGAGGAGCAAGGTAAGAGTCACTGGGTGGCTTTCCACCACCTGGACCTCAGTCTTTGGGGGCATGGAGATAGTTCTTGCAAGCACCGAAACAAAAGTTTTATACCCTATGCCCCCAAAGTCCACTCAAAAAAGAGCTAGTTGCTTTGCCATTATCTGAGATCATTTTTGATCATTCTCTGTCTTTGATCAAACATGAACTAATTCTACACGAACCCCCCCAGCACTTGTCATAAATACATTTTTCAGCTAAAAGATATTGCACGTTTAGAGGCTTTTTCCCTCCTCTGTAGCCACGTTATAGCACAATGACCTGTCTCAGAGGGAAAACACATTTAACACTACATGCAGGGACTGCTTTTGCCAGCCAGCCTCTATGCTAAAAGATAGTCTTGGGTACATTYGATTTACTAGTATGGACAAAGCTCACATGTCCTGCGAAGGACAACAGAGGCCATAAAGAGCTAGGACTTAGACCAGAACCCTGAATGATCCTCCATCTTCAACACAATGGGTCATTTATCCTTCTACCCAGCCTCGCTTAGTGACACACGCGGCTCGGAAGCTGCTATATTTGGTAGGTACCTGCAGAGCTGGAGACCAGAGTTCAATTATCCTTAAATTCTTATCAGGATCCTTCACTCCCGCCAGGGCTGTCATGGAAATGTAATGCATGTCCTGCCTCAAGGTTTTGGTTCATTTGTAATAAAAATCATCTGGCCTCTCTCCGAAGGAAAATGCAATCCATCCTACAGGAAGACAGTTGGAAATATAGTTTATCTGGATGCCAACTGGATTCTCATCAGGAGTTTTTGTGCAGTATTCGCCTACAGAACTGTACAAAACGGGGCCTAGAAACTGGCTGGTTTTCTGCAGAGCTGAACCCTTGTGGCTGTTCCCACTGACTGCAGAAGGTGCTCCAGGTGCTCAGCTTTTCTGAAAAGAAGCCAATACTTTTTCTCACAGTCCTTAGAGTTGTAACAGGAGAACTGTTGTGCTGAGGAAGGGGGGAGGTTGAGGACATGGAAAAATCTAGTAATGACATTTCTATTTCTGCCAGYAAATTTTAGCCAGAATTAGATAATACGTGACAACAAAGGAGGCTTTCTACCTGGAAAGGGTAAGTAGCAACAGGTCTCTGCATGTCTCAGGTTGCAGAATAGCTCTGCTCCCTGAAACAGCCCYGACCCAAGCTCATTTCAGGCCTGCTGGGGCTCCTACCTTCTCGTTTCTGAACTTCTATTATATTTTTCTCTCATTCCTAAATTCAGAAKGGGGATAAATCCCTTTGTTTGGGCTCATTGTAACCGATATTTTCTTAGGTCTCCCCAGAAGGATTTTGTATTATTATTATCCTTATCCAATAAAATTTCTAGGCTTTTGGGCACTGTTCTGCCCCCCTCCCCAACAGATGTTAAACAACATTTAATACTGTATCAAACCAGCATTATTACATAAGAGTATCTCTAAATTCCATTTTTTTCACTGAGGCTTCAGTCTATCAGATCATAATAATTCTGCTGACATCAGGCCTCTGATAAGATCATAACAAAAAAATGGGAAAATATCATAGCAGATCAGATGCATGAGCACACACTACAAATGCTCGTCCTTACTGTCCACAAGGGGCTAAACCAGCGCTGAAAACGGCCCCAAGCACAGGGATTTAGATGGGAGCCCAATATAGAAATTATAGCAGAATGGAGAAAGCATAAAACCTTCACCTCCCTCTATAGCAAAACTGGCTGTTTAACACTTTTAGCTCAGTTTTCCCTCTAGCTCAGTTTTCCCTCTAGCTTGGTAAATGAATACATTCTTAAACCAGGAGTTTCTTCATTACTAAGACTTTGACTTATGTCAAACACATCATTGATAGTCACGCTCCAGCGGCAAGTCCTCCACGAAGCAGGGCTATATCACACAGTAGATGGTCACGTAAAAGAGAGCTGCAATTTTATCTCAGATTGCACATCCTGTATTTGTAAAACATCTTCAAAGCAGAAATAGGGAAAAATTCCTTTTTGTTTTTAGCTCTTCTCAGTTTTGCTGCAGYGAAAGATTTCCACATAGTTTTGTGTACAGCTCTCCTGGCTCACAGCCAGGGTTTAATTTATAAAACGTAGCTAACAGGGACCACAGGCATGTTTGTCTCCTTCCACGGGATTTAAACAGCATACAGAGAATATGGTCCATTAAACTGAGTTCACATAATATCCATTCAGCCCTTGCAGGTCTTGGCATAAAGGCCAAGTCCATCTGTTTCTCTAAGACTCCTTTGTGTTTGCTGCTCACCATGATTAAAGGGGATGCCCACACTGAGTGATAAGAGAAGCAGCTTCAGCCTCCTTATCAAACCCYGTACTGAGTGAAGGATGGTCTTGGTACAGACAGACACTGCTTTGCAAACCCACCTAATCTTTGCATATCATAGGTTATTACTTTACGTTTTCTGGCATTCTCTATTAAAGGATTTCAACGTCTGAGGGATTTATGTCCTCAAAAGCCCTCGCCGGCAGAGGATAAGCCTTGCATGGCCAACGATGGGGTAAAGCTTGCTGCAAAACCTCTGCAGCTCTGCTGTGCCCAGCGGATTGGGAGGATTGGAAGGGTCCTGCAGTGCACACGGGCAATGCCCCTTTTCTTTCCAACATTGCAATTCCATCCAACTTTCACTCAGCCAGCTCAATAGCTCTGAACAGCAACTTGCTCCCAAGCACAGCAGTTCTGGGGGGGTTGCTCTTGCTTTGCTAACAAGTAATGCCACGTGCTCCTCAAGTGAAAAATGATTATTTGATTTAAGAGGAGGCTCTTAAATTATAAGCAACCCACAGTTATTTTAAGGGCATCTTGCATCTTTTCTGCAATGAAGATTGATGCTGCTCTTGCTGTGGGGTTATAATAAAGAGGAAGTATTTATGCAACAGTGATTTTTAGCATTTTCTTCAGATTGATGTGTTTATTTGTTTTCATCTTTTGCGAAAACCATAAATAATGTCTTCGCTCTTCAGAGGGAGTACTGACATCCCGTAATTTATGACTGGTTAAAAGTAAATGTGTTGAGGGAACGTTATTTATCTTTTGACCATAATAACTGCGTGGGCTACCCTGAATGAATGCGCTCTCATAAACCACGCTGATTCTAAAGAGCTGAAGTCAATAATTAAAGCTACCAAAGAGAAATAATGGACTAAAAACAAATACTAAGCCTTCCTGTGTGTGCTACAGGTGCACAGAAGTCATGCTGACAGGAAGCCTCATGCTTCAGGCTGAGTGGCTGAAATGAAGTATTGATTTTCTGCTGAAAAGATTGTAAGTAAAAAGGACAATTAATTTTTAAATGAGGGTAGTCGTTAAGTTACTGCCCTCTGGACATAGGAAGAAGCTCATTTGTCCATATCTACAGTACGTCACTTTGTGCTCAAAGGCAGTGGGTTTTTAATCGAAACTAGGTTGTTAAGAATATTAAGGTATGATTAAGTGTGCAGTCTCCCCTTTTATAGCTCTGAACTTCAAATTGAGGGCAAGTTCATCTGACACACACCAAAAAAATTGCCCTCACATTGGCCCCACTCACCAGCTGTGATCGTGTGCCCTGGGGCAGCCCTTTGTGGTCCAGATGGAGCTTGGAGGTGTCGTCCTTGGAGCATCACATCCAGATCTCTGGTCCAGCGAGCACCATTGGCTCAATGAGTCTCACACGCGTGGTCAAACACCCAGGAACAGGGAGGGGGCTTCTTGCCCCTGGGATGGCTGGGGGCATTGCTGGCCTGGGGAGCTGCCTGCCAGCCTGTTTAAACTGATCTGGGGCCACGAGGTGCTGCAGAGGGAGGCAGTGGGACCCAGTGGGAAACAAGTGGGTTCAAGGCTTGGTCTGGCAGATATTAATTTGCAATTAAAAAAGTAAAAAAGCATGTAAAAAATTAGCATCCCAAATTGAGCCAAAAGATCCAAATGACTCATAGTCTCCAAGTGTCTCCAGGTCCATTCAGCTCATTGTTTTAGGCATCTGAAATACTTTGCTTCAATTCTGGCCATTTTCTGTTAAAAAACATTAACCTCAGAATGATTTTGAAGCCCAAAATGTGGCTGGCTTCATCAAGGTGACAAATGAAAGATGTGGCCAGTTTCAAGGCGTTCTGTAACATTCTGTTCTGGGGGAAAAAATGTGCTGAAACCAGCTCTTGCTGGTACCGCAGAGTTTTAACAAACTTTCTCTTTTCAATTGCTTTAGGAAAAAAAAAATTAAGTGGCTTTGAAATTATCTTTAAACTAGCTAAAGAAGGAAGGCAGACTTGCGGCCAGTATCAGTTCAGCTCATCTGTTCCCTATAGCTTAAAAATGTGGTTGTTTAGGAAGAAACACACTGATAAAACTTTGGGTCCGTCCTTTTCCTATATCATGGTTCTTCTACTAGGGAAAGTCCAAATTGCATGATGTGCAATTCAGAATTTTATTTTATTTTTTTAAATCCCAGAACGCGTCGCTGACAAGGGAACTGCTTCCAGGTCCAGACACCCGGACACAAGCACCACGCAGTGAAAGCCACGCTGACTAACGCAACCCCTTAAACATGCCTGCAAGAAGGGTTTTGACTCCACCATGCTGGCATGCCTGGATGTGACAGGCTTCCTGCCCCAAGCTGGAAGGTAGGGCTTTGCTTGCATATATCAAATTAAATAACTTCCCCTTCCTTCCTTTCCTAATCCCCCGTACAAAGATCTATTATTTGGGGAAAGGAGCACAGGAATAAAACGGTCAGCTTGAAATATATCTTATGGGCTGAATGGAAAACCTAATTAACTAGACTTCTGAACTGCTAAGGTTTAAATCAGGTCTCTGCAGTGTATGTGGGACGTTATTACCTTATATTTAAAGTGACAGCTCTGAGATTGTCAGATCTGGAAAAAAACCCACATCTTTCAAAATACCTTGCTTAGATAAGAATGAACAAGCTTGGCCACCCCAGCCAGTACAAGGGTTATGGGCCTGCAATCCATGTTGATGTTTTAAAGAGTCAACTGTCTCTGCTTGTGTATGTATGAACATATAAATGAAGGGAAAAAAAAAAAAAAAGAAAAAGGAATAAAAGGAATATATCCTCTCCTCTGTGGCAGTCCTTAATGAGAGTGTTGGTGAGCACAAAATGTAGAGTATAGCAAAGCTAAAGTGCTCAGGACTGATTCTTCTGGGGATGAAGACAAGTTCTTCTCCCTGACCATCTCCCTGGCCATCGCTCCACATGACTCCCAGGTTTCTGTGCCTGGGTATCAGTCAGACRAGCTCCCACAGGAGGGACCCCGGCTTCAAAACCAGATAGTGCCAACCTTCCTGAAGGGGCACAGCTGCTGCCCGGCCCTGGCCGACTRCACCCCAAGTTTTAGGAGAGCACATCCTCATGGGACAAATAATATGAAACAGGGACTCTCCTTCTTCAWCTATTGGCTTTGTTTAAATAAATCAGTTCTCAATAAATGTGAAGAAATTAAAAAAATATATTATCCTGCAGTTGGGTGCTGACATGCTGCAGAAAGTCATTTTCAGCTATTCAGAGGAAACTTGAGCGTTCGAGTGTGAAGCTTCGTAATTGTTTCTGCTAATCTTCCTCCTCCGTCCCCTTCCCGCATCTGCTGCCAGCGTTGGCAGTGCCGGGAAATAAGAGCAAAGCATCCAAGCAAGCAAGCAGCTTCTCCAGCAGGAGCAAGCATTAGCTCCAATGGATGGGTTCCACACACCAGCCCAAGTACTGCAAAGCCACCCTGCAAACTCATAGCACATTGCAACAGGCTGTTCCTTCCCTATCTCRGGGAGAAAACAACTCCTGCTGCTCCCAGAGACCTGATCTAAAACGTGTTCAAGCACCAATAACTCCACTGGGAGAGCCCAAGCAGCCTCCAGCACAGCCTTTTTCCAGCATCTGGATGTGTTCCGTGCCAACACCACTGTCTCCTCTCTGCCGAGCCCACTGAGATGTCATTGCCGTAATCAGCAGCGCAGAACGTCACCAAATGCCTTCTGACAACTGCTGCTCCGTGCGATGCAATGAGCACCAGCAGCAGCTTGGTGCAGACTGGCCAAGCTGCATGGACAAAGGCAAAATTCCTTCCTCCAACAGCGCTGGCGGGCTGAGAGATTCGGGTGAGCGATCAAGCTGTGAGTGAACAGAGCAGCTTGAAAGCCAGGGCCTTCTCACCAGCCAGCACTGAGACACACACATTTTCCTCCACTAGAAACTTAATAAGTAGCAGCGACTACATCATAGAAATATTATTGTATTCCCAGGGACAGTACAGGATTTGTACACTCTAAAGAATACAGCTGTCTGCAAAAGAGGCTTGTACCTCACTGAAAAAAATATAATTATTTTGGCTAAAAGGATCCAAGCTGTCACTGCAATATTTGATATGAACTACAGCTCAGATATGATACTTCCATTCTGTTCTCGAGGTAAAGCTCTCTGCCTGGTATGTCTTTTCCATGGCATGCTCTTCCCTTTGGAAGAGGGAAGATCTCATCTCAGGAATTTCATAGGGAACATCCAGAGCCCCGAGAAAAACTGAGCACTAGAACCAAAACCTCCACCAGGTTGTGTGATACCATTTGGAAGAACAGTATTTCCATGGGATGGATCTCTCACTGGAGTCTAAAATCTTTGAGTTTTTATTTTTATTTTTATTTTTTTTAGATTACATTAAGACTCTTTTGTACGAGGGTACATTTATTTGAAAAAGCAATTTTTCAAAGATGAGTACTTCCAGAAATTTCTCATATTCTGTGGGAAGAAACCTATTGTGGAGTAACAGTACATGATACCATAGCCAAGAGGTTAACATAACATAAGGATGTTAGGGTCAACCTYATGTTAACATAACATCAGGAGGTTGGTCCTTCACAAGAGTACTCCAGTCAGGACTGAACAACACTAGTAGTTTTGACAGCAAATCATTACTTGTGCTGTGCAACCTTGCTGCGTGCCCATGCTTCACACAGCTTGACTTTCTGAAGACTTCTCACCAGAGCTGACAGTGATCAAAATCCCTCCAGTGCTTCAGGCTAAAAGTCATCTTTGTGATTAAAACAGACTAGAGAGSCCAACTGATTTATCCTAGTCTTGTAGGGCCAGGAAGTAGGAAGGCTGATAAAAAAAACTTGGAAAGGGGCAGATTATGAGACAGAGATGGACGCTTGATCTTTTCAAATAAAAGATCCTCAGTTCATGATGACAGATATCATGATACCATGATACGGTAAAAGCTCTTAGGATGTAAGGGTTGAGGAGCCCCTGGCGCAGCAGCCCACTGCGGCCCAAGTCTCCTGCTCATGCAACAAGATACTCAAGGACATGCTGCTCCAGCTAGATGCTGGTGGAGCCCATCAGGTGACTGGAAATGCAGCCAGGCAAACCTGGCTGGACAGGAAGGGGCTTTGCAAAGTTATGGAGAGCAACGTTTGGTACCCAAGTTTCACTCAAATATCCCCTTGGTCATCCTAMCCAATTCTCTTCTGCAGAATAAATACAGGATTGGTGCTCAGAACAATTACTGCCTTTGGTGGAGGCAATTTGATGCTTTTAATTTCAAGGAAATATTTAATATTCTCCCATTTTTACAATAAGCCTCAAGACTTCTACTTCCCACCCTCTCAGAGGACTTCTACCTCCTACCCTATCTCATCAGGAAAAGTTTTCCCCATCCTCAGGCAGTGACTCATTTTATGAAACAGGTCAGTTCCTTTCCTTTGGCATCACCCTATCAAGCGATCTGTGTTGATGGCTAATGAGCTATGCAGAGGCAGAGCCGCGAGACAGATGGGAGCCAACCTGTGCTGAACCCATTTTGCTTATGGATTTGGATGACGAGGTCAGAAGAGACCTTCAGATACGCAGAGCTCTGCCTCAAATAAAATCATCCTGCTAATCACAATCACCTGCACTTCTCCGGGTAATAAACAACCCACTGCAAAATGATGCAACTCCTGAAAGTTTTCTATTGCCTAGAGAACCTAAGATCACTCTAGATTAAATGATATGGAATATAAGTGCTCATAATCATCACTCTGCTTTGYACCAGTGAGAAGCAGTGAGTGTTTGGACAGAGAGTAAATTTGGGACAGAAACAGTCTGTTCCACCATTTGTCTGGTTTTTCACACTAACAGAGGAGAGGAAATATTTTTATAATTGGAAATACTGAGAAAAGAACAGTGTCTGGACCTCTTAAAAAAAAAAAAGAGAGATGGTATTTTAAGTAGACATTGATTATTCACCACTGCTTCTTTTCTTTGTTATATTAACAAAGTTTTTAAGCTGGCCAGTATTTTAGCAATAAACACTCATAGTCTAAATGAARAAGTCTGAGCAGAGAAAGTTCGGATACGGTTCTGCTCCTGCCTCTCCGAGTTACTGGAATTACAGCATCTTTTACACACAAATCTATTCCCTCCAAGGATGGATCCAGGTCAGATTCTCCTTTCTCAGTCCTATAGTTTCCCCACACCCAGGGGGAGCAGTCGCTTGCATTTTCCCATGTGTTTGCTTTGCAGGTGGACAACGATGTTAGGAGTAAATATAAAGCCAGATGAGGAGCAGCACCAGCCATGGAGGGCCCGACCCCAGAGCCTGTGTTCGTCGATGTGGACAAGGGACTGACGCTAGCATGCTTCGTCTTCCTCTGCCTTTTCCTGATCGTGATGATCATTCGTTGCGCGAAGGTCATCATGGACCCGTACAGCGCCATCCCCACGTCGACGTGGGAGGAACAGCATCTTGATGACTGAGAGGACTTCACCAGGCACAGCCATGAGATGCTGTGGTCTAGGAGACCTTTTCCCCACTCAGAAGGCTAGCACACACCAAACAGCCATTTTCAGATACACCGGGCAACAGCAATATCTCCAAAAGCACATAGTCTAAATATTCTTACTCAACAGATCAGGATAACAGCAGGCCATYCTGGCAGCACAGCTTAATACTATGCAGCAACCTTTCTTTTAATGAAAAACAGTTATGATTTTAACTCTAGTAGCACAAGAGACTGTAGGCTTTTCCTAATATAACTCTTGGTCTAGCACAGTCTGTCCTCCCTCAGTATTTCCCATATATCCAGGGTAACCATCAGAAGTTGGAAAAGCAACAGGAGCATTTTATCTTCCCTGAAAATAGATTGCTTCAGATATCCTCCTCAGTCATTATATTTGTGTGTTTCCAAAAGGTTTTACAGTTTTGTATCCTCAAGCACTGCTGAGTAGCAGCTCTAAAGCATCCCATCTGGGTAGGGGACATGGCAGCAGGGTTTCTCCTGACTTCCTTGCTTCTGCATGTGCCCTCCCCACCAAGCTGCAGTCCCATCTCCAGGGCACAGGATATAGAGGCACTCGGAGCACATTTCCGAAGGGGTTGTCATCAACCTTATCAACCCTACAGCATCACCTTGCCCTATACTGCTCTAGAGACCCTACGTATTTTACCACCTGCCATGTGTCTGTGGATTAGCCAGGTGGGTCAGATCACTTGTGGTGATCTTGCTGGCCACCAAAAGTCCTTGGAGCAGAGCTGGGACATCACTGGCTTCAACTACATAGAACTTGCACTGATTTTTTTTAAAGAGCCACTCATAACTGCACCCAGCTCGTGTTTCAGGTGGTCACACAAGTAGAGTAACAAACACAATAAGACAAAAACATAGTTTCTGGCTTTGTCCCCAAGAAATAAGTATTTGTCAGCTCTCAATTCCAACACATTCCTCAGCTTAGCCTCTGGAATAACATATGGTAATATGCATTCTACCTCGGAGAAATTCAGCACCTTTAAATGAATTTTCCCACGGATTGTAAGGTGAATATGTGTACATTTCCCTTCTTCAGTTCACCAAGGCAGCCATTATGGGAAAAGGTATGAGTGAATGGAGGAGCATCAAAAATTTGTTTTACACCTTTTGAGGAGTGAAGATTGAAGGATTCCCTTTCTCTCCATTCCCCAAATTCTAAGGTTTGCCCACAGTTGACACTTTTAGTAACTACAAATAGTATTTAAAGCATTATAAGAAGGCCTTGCTGAAGCAAGGAGCCCATCCTGCAACCAGCAAAAGCATCTCAACTAGAGAAGTTTGGATAGCAAACAGCTGCAAGAAGGACACTTCACCATTTCTCCTCTTCCTTACTCCAACCTGGTCTCTAGCTTTTCTCCATGAGGCAATGTGCAGTGGATGAGGAAGGTGGAACCAAAGGCTGGAGCAGGGAATCAGGGCACAGGCTTTGTGAGTTACCCTCCTTCACTCTGATAGGGATTTGCTGGAGGAGCGAGCAAGCCACCTCTTGCTGCGTGCCTCAGTCACTCATCTGTAAACCAAGAACAACCAAGCCAACAACATTAGCTTGCCTTGGTACAACAATTAGCTTGCCTCGTGCTGTTTTGTCTCTTCCTAATATCAGTAAAGCACTTAGAGAGCCTCAAAAAGGGACTCAGAATTAGCGTACTGATTTACAGTGATTCCCTGTGAAACTAGAAGGGAATCTCAGCATAACCAAGAGGAGTCCTCACCAGGGAGGAGACTCAACTGGACACCTCTCACTCTCAATAGGGGACACGTTTTGAGTCATGCCAAGGGGCACCTGGCTGCATCACAGGGCCCGCTGAGGAYACTGGGGAGGTGAGGTGCTCTGCAGCGTGAAACAGGGACCCCAAAATAGCCAACGATGAGGCACATGGAGAGCTTTGCATGGGCCTTCTGCTCTAGCTAAGCTGCACAGGGTTTGCTAATCTCTGCTGTAGGACATTCCAGGCAGGAGGAGGGAGATTTGAGGATCCACTTTAACCATCCTCTTCTCTACCAAGCAACCTGCAYTGCTTCACTTACCCACTGCATCACTGCTCATCAGCCTTTTAATCCTTCATTGCTGTTCCCTGAATGACCACCAGTGACTGAGGATTTTTATAAGAGTGACCGTTAACGTCTCCAATATTTTTAGCAAATACCTTGGTGTCTCTCATTCGCGAGTGGCTGCATTCATGCCATAGGAATTCGTACCATATCTCAAAGTCGAATGTATGCGCTTAGGGCAAACCCTGAGCAGGCTGCCTGGCTGCACCCAGGGCCAGGCCAGCCACAGTCCTTTCCAAGGAACGGGTGGGAATATGCAGAACCTGGTTACAGGTGCTGGGAAAGCAAATGAGCAAATTTGGGTTGCAAGGCTATTTGCTAAAACTTATTATTTTTTTGTTTTGTTTGTCTAGCTGTGCAAACCAAGTAAATCCRCCAAGAATCCTAAGGGAAAGATCTTTATGGAGAGTTCTAATTTCTAATAATAATAAGGCATTTATCATCCTGGTATAGCCTAAACATCTTTCTTTTGGCAAAGAGATCTCCATAAATGTCTGTGTATTCATGACCACCTTTCCAGGTGATCACACAAACATCTGCAGGATTGTTTTTATATTGATAATATCCTGATATCTGCCTTCCACCGACAGTTACGGTCATGCAGCCTGGCCATTCTAACCAAAAGCAATACAAAGCATCACATGGAAAGCAGAAGGTTCTTCCCCTGCTCCTTGGAGCTGGGATGCAGGGGYCACCCTCCCCAGACGCGTTATTCCCACAGCTGCACGATGCAGATTGCAGGAGCCCCACAAGCCCAGCAGTGTCTAAGGCCAACGAGGTTCTGTTTTAGCAGGGGCTGCATCACTGGGCTTGGTAGTAATTTCAGCTGCATGAAACAAGTGCCTCTGCTGGTTCTCTTTCTCTTCACTATTATGCCATACGACCATCAAGTGCACTCAGAGGAAATAATTCTGACCTATTGCAAATGTATTTATCTAATGCAATAAAATAGCTTCAACACAGATAGCATTCTTGTTGTCTCTATTGCTATTTCACCGCTAATTRCCAGGATCTCTTTTAAAAAAAAATAAAAACCCAAAATATGACAAAAACAATGTGAACGCACACCCCTAGCAGCCCTCCTTGGAGGGTGCAGCATGGCCACCCCATCTCAGGCTCTAAGCTCCCCTATTGAAAACTCATCGATCTTTTCCAAACCTGAAATATGACATTACTCCGTTTCTTACTTTTTAATTCATTATAGTCACTCTTTCGTATCAACCATAATACTGTAACATACATCCAGGGTTTTCAATACATACCAACCAGATGACATTCCAGTCTAGAAGAGCCCTYTCCATCAGGATCAAGCAGAGGATGCACCTTTTTGCTGGAAGCCAGGGAGAGTAGATAGAAACTGGATTAAGATAAACAGCCTCTGGAAGCAGAGCRAGCTGTGCTCAGTACTAACTGCACCTCTGAAGGTGGAGGGGAAGCTCTTTGCAGGAAAAGCCAAATCAATTAAAGCAGCAATTTAAAAAGGGAGTTTCCGAAGCCCCGTGYGTTTAACCAGGAGCACCTGAGCAGGCAGAGCATTGGCTCAGGCCCTGCAGGGCCTGGGTGAGGGCAGGGGGTTGCAGGACCATCACTGCCACCAAGTGATGGCAGCTGGGCTGGGCCAAAGCACCTGCRAATCCCCCAAACTCGCCTCCACAGGATTTCCTGGAAAGGAGATCCACCCGAGCGATGTTGCACATCCTCCCACCACGGCAGCAAAGCCCAGGGGTGAGGAGACAACGCACGGTTGTCCCTTGGGGTCCCTTGTGCAAAACGGAGCATGGAGCATCCCCCGAGGAGCCGACATAAATATCCGTGTTTGAGTCCAAGTATTCACACGAGCCAGAAGGGAAAACAGCTTTGCCTCAGGAAACAAACRCGAGGCCCTGTTTTCCTGGCCAGCTCATCACTTCTGGTGATGGCAGAGACTGTAAAGGCATGTGGGGACAGAAGGTCCTCGCCGTGTCGCTGTTGTTCTGCTCGCTCGGAGGCCGCCGGGCCCCTTGCCGCCAGCGTGCTCCAGCGGCGGGGATTTACCTGCGCTCCCACGTTTGTTCGTTAATCCTCGTTCCTGAATCATTCCTCGCTCCCGTGCTGCCAAGGGTCACGTTCCTGCCGAGGGCTGGCTGCTCCCTGCTCCCCCGCGCAGGGTGACCCCACACTGAGCCGGCAGGACGGGCGCTCTGGCCCCAACCCTCTTCCCCCAGCGCGGGGAGCGACCTCCCTTATTCCCTGACAAAGGGTCGGCCGCCTCCATCTTCCCAAAARGATCCTGCCAGCAAGCTGAACGCTGCCCATCCGGGGCAGCAAAGGGCACTGTGCAAAGCAGGGGCATCTCTGGGCACAAAAAGCAGCCCCCAGTCCCACCACTTGCTCCCAGTGGGGACAGGGCAGCCGGCCGTGGCCCCTGGGGCCACTGAGGGAACCGGCCGCCTCGGGGACGCCCAGCTTGGGGGCTCAGCAGATGTTTAACAGGCTCCCGTTGCTTCCCGCCGCAGAAATTGGAGAAAAACAGAAAAAAAAAATCAGCACAGGTGATTGCAGGGCCAGGCCTGGCCTTCCCCACACAGGGCATCGCTGCACCCTRCTACTGGCCAAGTGCTTTATTTATGTACTTTATTTTATGTACTTTATTAATTTTATGTACTTTATGTACTTTATCYTAYGTACTTTATTTTATGTACTTTATTTTATCTACAGCTTCTTGCTGTTTGCCATTTTTATTTTTTAAACAATACAATTTCATTTGGAATTTTTATTTTTTGCTTTCATTCTTTTAATACTTGCTCTTTATATAGTATGTAATTTTTTTTGCAGTGTCTTCCATTCAAAAAGTGTTTTATTATAAATTAAAACATGCTTTTGTAACTCTTCTTTTCCCATAATGTTTTGTAAATGTGCATTTTTCATAGGAAACTCTCATCTTTTGAGTTCTTACCTCTTGCGTTTAAAAAATATACCCATATATACGAATGTGCGTTTAAAAAATATAGCCATATAAGCATTCAATCCCCATTGTTATCAGCAGCCCAGCATTCTGAAAGTTCAAAATTTAACTGAAAATTTGACTTTTATGATAAAATACAATCMAGAAATTTAAAAAAATCTCACTCTTCAACCATCTCATCAATAATCATCTTATTCTCATTCTGAGAAATTTAAGACCAGGTTTTCAGTGCTGCACCATTGAAACACCAATGTCAGGCCAGAGTGCTGCATTGATCTGTAAGGTATTTATTGATAACTAAAAATTATATTACTATCAGTCATATAAAATTGGTAAATTTGAGTAAAGCACCAGGATTTCTCCAAACAAAGAGACAGGGAAGAGTGATCCTTCTTCCTCCGTGGTCATCTTATTGCCGGCATCACGGAAACGACGGGGCTGGAAGAACTTTTCCCGAGCACTGGCCAAATCCCACCCGGTAGCCGCTGCCCTGGCAGTAACCTGGCATGAGGAAGCAGACACAGAGGGTGATGCAAGAGCATCATAATAAAATCACAATTCACAATAAAAGTAAATAAAAAGCAATCAGACTTCTTGCCTGGGGCACTGCTGGCTCCCAGCTATATTTCAGCACCCATGCAGCTAGATTTACAGGGACATTCAGTTTATACCTATAAACATGAACAGGGCCCTGACAGGATATTTATGCTGGTTTTTGGATGCACAAGCACAGAGCTATTTTAAGAGCACCCTCATCCATGAAGAGTGGGCTCCAGCTTTTGAGCACTAGGCACCTTAAGGCTGTTCTTCAGCCCTTCAGGAACAAGGAAAAGCAGGGCAAGGTAGAGACCAGACCTTTAGGATCAGTAAGTTCTCAGAGCAGGGTTGGGAACCAAGTCACTTGCTGATGGAGATGTCACCTCYTAAGATCGCATGTCAGCAAGTCAGTGGGATAGTACTATTAATTTTTAGACTGACAGATGCAACCTCTTAGGAATGCAACAGGGAAAAAAAGAAGAGTTCAAGTGGCCCAATATTATTAAAAACAAAACAGAAACAAAAGCCACACACCACAAAAAGCACAGAACTCAGCAATACACAAGTTTTGGGAACACGATCAAAGGGTTAGCAACATATGCAATATTTCTGCATTGAAACTGAACCTGCAGCATCATCCATCTAGCTGACAAGCAGAACTGCTGTCTGGTGAAACCTTGCAGTTAATAAAGCAAATCCGGGCTCCTTTTCTGCAGTGTAAGGACTGCTCTTGGGATGTTGACTTTGGGGTGCTCATAAGCCAGAAAGATGATTGTTAAAAGCCTGAACAACAGGGATGTGCCCTAACAAAATCTGGTTAGCTTGCTAAATTTAAGCAGCATAGTTCCTTGAGAAACACAGCACTTAAAATAACTATTTATCCTCCATTATATAAATAGACATTGAAAGTCTGCTGACTGCTGCTGGAGCTACCGATCTGTGACAGCATCGTTAACTCTGGGCCAGCTCAACCTCCCCGTGCCCGTGTGTGACGGCAGAGACGACGCTGCAGCCCCCCTTGCAGCCGGGGCCAGCAGAGCTGCTCCATAAGCAGCATCCACTGGGAAGCTGCAGAGTAGGAGRGGTCACAGCCCGGACTTCTGGCCCAACTGGGAAGATTATCCTGGGAAAACACAGCTGAGGAGACCCATGGTGGCCTTTCACTGGCAACAGCTGATCAAAGGAAGGGCACGAGCAGCTTACACTGTATTTTAAGGAGTGACTTCAGAGTTAGTGATGGATTTTTCTACAAGAACAGAATACATCATCTTCCCTGCATGTGATAAAAGTCAGTGGCCTTGGAGAAGCCAAGAGGGATCTGAGCAGAACAGAGCTTAACCGCTAGTCCCCAGTCCCAGGACCAGCAGATGCCCTGGGCTCCAGCGCAGGAGAGAGTGGGCTCAGGCTGCTCTGCAAAGCCTCAGCAAAGTCACTGCAGCACTAAGGCAGCTGCTGCCACCTTCATCCAGCAGCACAGCTGTCACAGCCAGGCTGAAAAGAGGTTTAAAGAGGTTTTTCCAAGGCCAGCAGGATCCGTAGCTCCGTATGCAGCAGCCAGGCCCAGAGCACCTTCCCACATCCACAAGGTGATGCTCATTAGTGAACATCGCTCGAGTAAGACACTTGCTTCAAGGTTCAGCTCAGTTTCCATTAGTCTCATTAGGCTTCGCTGCCAGTTTTCCTTTGAACGCTGGCTCATTATTTCAGTCCAGTTTAGTTATTCCTGCTGTCAGCTGCAATTTAGAGCTGTCTGGAGGAGCAGCCCGTTTAACAAAGTGAGCTCTGCACCGGTGCTGTCTGGTGCTGAGCCCCATCGAGACGTGGGGAGGTCTCTGGGGCCAGCTCAGCACGGCCTCGGCCAGCCCAGGATTGCAATGCTTCCTGGGCAAGACATGAGGGAATCACGGATTTCCCTCCCTTTAAGCCTTAGGGCTTGGAAATACCTCCCACAAGGAGGAGCTCTTTGCACAAAGAGCAAAAACGTGAAGCTGAAATGGGAGGCTAGAAATGATGGGTTGGCCGCTTGGCAAGATCTAGGCCCCAGAGAGGATGCAACAGCAGCAGGGCTGCCTCCAAGTGCCTTAGGACCTTAAGTCACTACGCAGGGAGACGTCCCCACGTGTCCCAGCTGCAGCTCCRGCGGCGCTCGCCTGTTCATGCAACCAAGGCCCTGCTCCCATGGCCTTGACACCCCAGTGCTGCCAATGGGGAACCTTCCTCCTCTCAATAACACAGCAATCCGGGGAACATGCGACTGTGCCATRGGATAAAGGTGCCTTCATCCAGCTTAACCGCAGCACCCTTAGGCCATCTTTAAAAATGCAAGACATTCAYGTCTGAAAGTCTTTCATGAGACCATTTGCCCTCTTTACAGACTTTCAGTGCAGATCTTTGCAGATTTTCAATCTTTGCACCTTTCCAATGAGATCCCATCAGCAATGTAGGTTGAACAAAGGGGTTACTTGCAACAGGGCATGGTATTCAATAGTTTTCCAAGTGGGATCTGGTGATGCACAAAATCACAAGCTATTCTCTAAAAACTCAATAGGTGTCATAGCAATGTGTCTGCAGGCTTGAGTCAAATATTTCACGTGGTTGAGCTTGCCAGATGTACGGCACCTCAAAGCCATGAAGTGGTTGATAGGAGGAAAGAAAATAGATCTGTTTTGCATTGCACTTGGAATTTTAAAGAGAATGTGGAATTTAGTGTGAAGCACCATGTTAGATTTTAATTTATAAATGCCTTAGCTTCTCAAGGTGAAAAGTAAAATCATAGCCCAGGACAAAACAGCTCTCAAGCACAGCCCTTTTCAAAGAGGAGCTGGTAAACTGTTCTAACAGGCTTCATGCTGTTWCTCACATATTTGATTTGCAATGCATTTCGCTGAATATGTATATGTTGCAAATGATACATTGCTTGCAAAATAACTTTCTTCACCACTTGCCAAGCTCTGCTTCACATGTAAACGTGAACAGCAGCGGTAGCAAAACAGCAACTGCTTCCTTCTCAAGAYGCTCTCACCCTCAGAGGCACCCTGTACCAGATGTTCCTTCAACACTAATGCCTGAGCATAGGCAGATCATTAACTACTTACTAAAACCAATAAACAAACCTAAAAGGAATTTACAGCATGGAATTTTATATCAGTTTGCTCCTGTCTCCCAGAAGGTAGGATGGAGACAAATGTGATTGCGTGGCAGGTCTGTAGAGAACAGTGTGTCTACTCACCAGGCACCTTCACAAGGAAGAAGGGTCTGTGACTGTAATTTCCTAAGCAGAATGAAAAGAAAAAAAGGGATCCAAGCAATACCTGTTAATATAACTTCATCTCCATCCTGCAGGAATTTGCGGGACTGTCCGCTGCCAAGATCAATTTCTTTTGTTCCATTCCAAGACAGCTCCAGCAGAGATCCAAAGCTCTCGGGGTCCTACACCAAAAGTTAATACAAATAAACAAGCAGGTCTCTAATACATCTCTCCTACTGTTAAATACTAGCTGCTGGAAGCAGACGTGCAGGTATGTTAGCTGCATAGAAGAGTTCCTTGCTGGTGATTGAATTCATTGATACATTGGCTTATTTGCCTGCCGTTGCAGTTTAATTCTTTGCTCACTGTAAGCAGTCGTGGCTTCCAGCAGTTATCTGGTATGTTTAATCTAGCACTAAACTCTTGAAAAAAAGAATCAGTCCTGCTAAGAAAGAACGGAAACAAATCTATGGCACATCTTTTGCAAATGCAGCATTTTTATGTAGTCACATTTAGAATTTCATTTATTCTTCTGGAAAAAAAAAGTTCAAAGTTGTTAAATGTTTGTAAATCTTTAAGATGAAGTAAAAAGCAAAAAAAAAAAAAATACTCCTAAGTGTAGGTATCCAGGTTTGGAAACAGCTTTCCCAAAGCTACCTGAAATGCATGAAGAGTGTTTATATTTGATGCTTTGGGATGTGCCAGTACCTTACTCATCTCATATTGCTCCCTGTTTCAACTACTGCATGTGGGACAGTACAATGCGACCACAGCTCATGAAGTTGTGGCGTATGGTATGTGGTATTACAGAAACTAGAAGTTTTAATATCTCTAAAAATATAATTGATTGTTGTTTTGAATTTTATGCCCATCTACCTTTTACATTCTTCTCAGAAATGGAAACAGTTGTATTTCAGAGAGTGAAAATGGGCTGTGTAGTGGATTCTTGTGTACAGAAATTAATTTGCATATGTAATATTAGAAATGGCTCTTATCAAAAGGAACACAGGGCACATTAAAAAAAAAAAAAAGAAGAAAAAACTCTCAGTGAGGTCTTGGATCACATAAACATTAGCCCAAATAGCCTAGGAAAGAACTGGAGGCATTTTCAGGAGCGATCAAGCCAAATACGATCTGATCCAGAGCCCTGCCTGGTAGGTTAGGACTGCTGAACGACACCTGTGGAGATAGTTACTTGGACACTTACAGGTCCACTGATAGTTCCCGATGCCAGGAGATCTCCAGGTTGGAGGTTGCATCCGTTGATTGAATGGTGAGCTAGCTGCTGCTTCATGGTCCAGTACATGTGCTGGAGGAAGAGGAAGAGGAGCCTCAAGCAAAGAAGGACAAACGTGGCCCTTGCATGCCATTAGCCTATGCAGAGTGCACTGCATTCTCTGAATGAGGCTGCCCAGGCTGTCCCTAAAAAACCAAGTTTCCTAAAGAACATTCACAGAGCTACTTAGCGCAGAATTGTTAATGGTTCCTGTTCTCTAAATGGTGACTGGAAACTAACTCGCCTTTAAAAAATAAACTTTAAAATACTCCTTAATACCTTAAAATTTCTTTTCTTTACATTGGGTGGGACTTCTCTCCTCCTCCCATTTTAATGCCAGCACTGATAAGCCAGGATTGATGACAAAGTCCAATACTTTCATGAGTTTACGGAAAACCTGCTTATTACTGATTTTCTGACTGCTGATTCCCTGTTTAGGGTAAGGGATGTATACACAACACTCAGAGCAATCCCGGGGCTGGTGCGAGCCCCTCCAGCCGCCGCCACCCTCCACCAGCGGGTGAAGGCGCCGCCGTGTCCCCGCGGCGCTGGGCACGGTGCCACCGCGGTGCCACCGCACGGGGTCTGCAGGGAACGGGCAGCCGCCACCGCAGGCACTTGGGCACAGCACGAGGCAATTCCCTCTGCTCCCGCTGGCCTCCGTGCTCACTCTTTCCTGCCAAACAAGTAGAGAGCTGCCACTGCTTCCAGCGTGCCAAGGCGAGCGCCCGCTCCTTCCAGCATTCCGGTAGCTCCCATATCAGCAAGAGGAAGGAACATCAACCTTTCCCCTTCCTCTCTCCTCCCCACCTGCCCTCATCTTCAGCAAATACAAAAGCCAGGGTTTGAAACTGCTTAAGGTGGGACTGAGGGCATGAGCAACACTTCAAACCTATAAGGGAAGCAAAAGTCTTACCTTAAAATTAGATGTGCATATAGTAGTTGGCGTGCTCATTCCTTCTCCTGTGGAAAAGGAAAAATAAGAACCAGGGAAAGAATTTGTGTTGGATGAAGGATGTTGGAGTCTTTTCATTTTTTAGGTGGATAGAGACTCCTTTTATCATTGTAATCCTTAGTAGGAAACATGAAATAGCATTTTCCATACCCACACAAAGGCCAACATTACATAGAAATCAAATGCGTGGGTGACACAGGACTAATTTCCTATTGTATTTCCTACTTTCTGCTCAGCAGCAACTGGATCTACTGCCCAGCAGGCCCTTTAGCTGGTGCCTGTGTGGGCTAGCAAGARAGCCCAGAGCTGGCACCGTGGGCTCTCCCATCCACGCCCTCCACCCACATCCTGCTTGCACCTTCCACAAGGGCTCTCCTTGCTGCACGGGATCATTTGCAAGAGGGAAGTGCTTTGGCCACCCTCCCAATGGGGAACATTAAGAGCTTTGCCCCTTTCTCTGACAGAGGCAATACGGGCTAAGGTGTGTGAGCAGGAGTGTGCAGCCTAGAGCACATTCTCTTAAATATATAGTGGATTCTACCTTCCTTAGCTGGGGTTTCAGTTCTGGAACGCATCCAGCCTTGCCATACCTTTAAGGGCAACAAAAAGCTGGATGTCAAACGTGTAGGGCTCTTCATCGCGGAGGTAGGGCAGCGGCTTGGGATCCTACAGCACAAAAAAGGCATCACAGGCTAAACAAACAGAAAGGAAAAATTCCTCAAGCCTTGCCAGCAACTTTGTTTATAACAGACTGTGCTACACACCCCATTGACTTTACCATTATTGCTGTCCAGATTATTGCTTTTCTTCCTCTTATACTCATTTTTTGTAGGGAGAAAAAAAAAAATTCATGCAATCACATTCGCTTTTTTGCACTTGGGCTCCAAAAGCCCTTTCCATCATTACACAGATGCTAATCCACAACAAACACATTGCGAGCTCACCTTTGCACTGTTCCTGCACAAAAAAAGTGGCAAATTCTCTGTAAGAGAATTTCACCGTCCCTTTTCCTCTTTTAAAATAAATTTGCACATAACACAAACAACTGGAAATGCTTGAACAAAGTGTTTTGGCTTAAGCCATATCATTTCAAGATGATATTGTTTTCCTGCTCAAGTCAGCGAGGGAGAAAATATGAGGAAGTAACAGTGTCCRTAATCCTTACCACAGCACCAGTAAAAATCAATGAGCATTTGAACTTATGAGCCCCAGTGCTTCCTCATCTGTTTTGCAAGCAGGATCACACTTGTAAACTCTTAGAAAAATGTGCTTTGTACAGTTTGATGATTCCTCTTTGTGGAACCTACTATTGCTTGTGAGATATTTATTTATTTTTAGTATTCTCTTTTTGTTTGTTTGTTTTCCTCCCCTTTTGTCTCAGCCCTTTCTCTCACTTACCTGGACAGGATTTGGCAACACAAATGGCATGAGAGCTTCCATAGTGACAACCCAAGGAGAGATGGTTGTGCCAAAGCTCTTGCTCAGGAACGGACCCAGTGGAACATATTCCCATTTCTGAATGTCACGGGCTAGCAAGAAGACCAGAGCAGCCCTGTTAAACATATCCTAAGAGTTGCACAGTCCTAATGCCAGTGCAACACAGAACTGTGTCCAGCTACAGAACCAACTGCGTGGACTTGGAAACATTATCCCCACCTTTTCCAACACCTCAACCCCAAATCCTGATTTAAATTCACCTTTTTCAAATCCTCGTTTTTTTTTTCAGAACCTCTAGATTAGAAAGAAAATCCAGGGATAATTAAAACAAATCAGTTCATCTGTATACAACAAGTCTTTTTCCCCTCAGTGTCCTTAACACTTTTACATCCACTCAGTAGGGTAAATACCAATTGTAAGACCAATTCCTACCAGCTATCAGTGCTTACGTCTGCTTAAATCTATGCAGAAACTGATTTGTGATCATTAAATCTTCTCCCTGATCCTGACAGTGAAATCAATCCTCTGGTGGAAACACCAGTCATACGGATGATCTACTCCTGTCCAGAAGAAAGGATATAAGGTCTTTCATAAATAACTTAAGTCTTCCTTAGACAGCAGTTTGTGGTTCTAGTGATTAGCTATGATGCATCTAAACAGTGCCCAAGAAATGCAGATAGCTTTCTATTTTGATCCCTTTCAATTGCAATATATAATTTATCCATGTCTCTGTTTTGCTACAACAACGTAGTCCATGCCAGGCAAATGCCAGCAGTGCTCATTACCACTCCAGTCGTTCATGAGGACCATCCCAAAGATGTGCTCGTGGGCTCTGCTGATAGGAATGGGCTCCCCGTGCTTGTTGCCAGGGCCAACAAAGAATGCCTGGAATTCAAARGCAAGATGTCAATAATGTAAATCCTAGAGGTCACCATCACTTGCAGAATGTTTTTCTGCACTGCAATCAAAAGATTAGTATCAAAAGATTGCAGGGCAATGGCAACTGCTAACTAGATACCAGGCTGTGGTGTCTGGTGAGAAGAATATGCCCTTGTGGTTCCAGATTGCTGCACCAGTGCTTGGATTTGGTCATTTCCAGCTTGAAAACTGGAAATGCAAAGTATTATATGAACATTCACCAGAATGGAAAGTTTCCACCACAGAAATGCTATTGCCTACTAAAAAAAAATCTATCAAAAGGAAACTGGAGGAAAAATGCTGGACCTTATGACACCTTCATTTCAGAAGGAGCCTGCAGCAAATACATGTATTTACTGTATAATTATTTGTCTGCTGTTTGATGCAGTCTTTGAATTGAATGTCAATTTTTTTCCATGTTAGAATGTAGTAGAAATTGCAGAAAGCCCTTCTTTGTGTTGGTTTCCACTACATGCTTTTCTACTGAAGGGATAAAACCATCTTACCATTTCTAACGCAATAGCCAGACGTTTACAAGCACTAAACACTGGAGGTCTATCTGCGGCTTTAAAAAAAAAAAAAAAAAAAAAAAAGAGTATGACAGGATGGCAGGTAGGGAAATAAAAATAATATAGCTAGAAGACACAAAGCGGTTGATGCTGCCTGTCATGTAAACATAAAACTGACTTAGCTCTGGGCTTTCTCTTGCTCTCAGTCTTAACCCAAGAGTCTGAGCCTCAGACAAGGCATCCCAGCCCCTTCCYGTCCACTATTTTCTATGAGGAAAAAAAAAAAGGCACATTAAATCACGCTGTGGACTTACCATTGCTAGGGCTTATCTGCCCCACAGGTCTTCTGACGGGCGTCCCCGACACCACAACGGACGACGCGCGGCCGTGATAACCGACGGGCAAGTGCAGCCTTGTTGAAAGAGCACCAAGGAGGGCAGGTTAATGGTGCAGCAGCCCCCCGAGCTGCTTGGCAGGGCAGCAGGACGAGGGGAGCTCCCTGCAGAGATGGGCACATGCAGGACATGCACCAGGCGCACCCCAAAAGCCACTGTCCCAATTCATTCCTTGGAGCTTTGGCAAAAATCAAGTTCTTAGGTAAACCTGCCCTTGTGCAGATGCACTAAGGCAGTGCAAACTCAGCTAGGGATGAGGAGAAGTGATTTTTAGCTCTGTTTTAGAACTCTGACAGCACAAATTCCCCTCTGTTGTGAACGGAAATTATTCTTGTGCTGAAAGTCTGTGCATTAGATCTTTATAAAAATTGTATATACCTACAGACATGGATAAAGAATAATGTTGCACCAGAGAAACACCTGAACTACCCACCAATTAGGCATCAAGGCATTCTCCTTCCCTCTGAACATGATCCCGATGTTCGTGGCATGTTGCCGTGAAGAATAGAAGTCAGTGTAATCTCCTGGGGGGAAAGAAACCCATAAAATATGAATCAATAGCAAAAAAGTCCCATATCTGCTGAGGCTAAAGAACAGAAAAACGCTGTTGGCAATGAAAAGAACAGAAAAGGAGGCAGAAAGAGCTCAGCAGAGGCATTTAGAAATATTTAATTTCARCCACATAGTAAAAACATGCATAGCATATAAGTGGTGATTAAAAATTTACCTGTGAAACAGTGCAAACAACAAAATTGGTTTTTTTGTTGTTGTTGTTGTTTTGTTTTGCCTTTTTTTTTTKGTTTGTTTGTTTGTTTTTCTCCTTAATTTCCATTATGATCCCTATCACAATCCCCTCCCTGGAAATCCCTAGAGGAGCACTGAGCTTCTTAGAGCCCACCCAAGTTCCAGGGCTTTTTCTACCTTGATGATGCTGGGGCGGGCGCAGGGAAACGCGCTCAAACTCAGAACATCTGCTGCCCTCTGGTGCCATCGCGAGCAAACAGCTTCGCTGAGAGTGAGGAGAAACCACGGAATTTGGGGAAAAGCTTAAAATACGCCACATTTAGCTTGCAACGCTTGCACAAAGAAACGAGCTAAATTTTGCATCTCAAACTACTGCAACACAGAGCAAGGCAGCTTAGCCACCTCCTCATGCTCACGCTGCCTGCATGGAGGTGTGAACAAACAAGGATTAAACCTGGGTCAGGACAGCAGTTTAGTCCTTTTTAGTAAAAATTATTTTTTCCCCTCAAAATCAACAGGTTATTTTATATAGAGMTGCACTCCAAAACAGTCCATACACTCATGCTAGTGGAGGTCAGATTAGTGATGCAGAGCAGTATTCTAAAAATTGAAACTCATGTTTATTTATGAGGTTATTCTACAGTATTTGGCTTGCGAAACTTTGGAAGGTCTTTTTCTTTTTCATCTTTTTTTTTTTTTTTTTCCTTTTTTTCCTGAGAACAAATGGAAAAAGTGCTTGAAATTAATCAAGTGTTTCTGGACTGCCTGCAATTCCAAAGGCCTTTGGTGATGCAAATCTGAGGACAGGAGTTTTATGGCACCCGACAACCCTGATTTAGCAAAAACAGCATCCCGATTTTTTCTGGCTGCTACTGAGCTTACCCAGGCGTTTATTCTCATGCCACAGACAGCACCTACCATCCATTATGTAAACTAATCTGCTTCTGGCTCTTACAAAACCCATTCCCTGCCACAGCAGGWTCTGTTTGAGCAACCTGGGCATCGAACAGCTCTTGTGGGCAAGAGCAAGGGGCTCCGGGACGTACCGATCCGAGCTGGCAGGTGCATCGTGGCTGCAGCCTGGGGCACAAACGCTCTGAAACGAAAAATAAGAACTTCAGCTCCCGGAGAAGTTGCACTTCTCACCCTTTGCGGCTTTGGAAGCGTGGAAGGGAGCGTGTCTATCTTTCTCTAATGCCTTTCTTGAYTTGTTTTGCAAAAATTCGCATGCGCTTAGGTGAGCAGGCTGCATGCTGGAGTATTTTTTGCAGTGTGGCTCTCASGGTGCTCGATTCAAACTCCTGGGACCCCTCGGTACTGCTGCCATCCTTGCAGAGGAGCCAAAACAGCCTAGCCGACCAGGAGAGCCTGGCAGGGCCATGGTCTGGGCTGAAGGTGATGAGGATGATGATGATGATGTTGATGATTAGTGGTGGGAGCAGCACCTTCCTCCACAGAGCTGCCACAACTCAAGCCCACCCAGGGCACAGCCCAACTTAACCTGCGCGGAGGGTGACACCCAGATGTTTGGAAAGACAAGGGATTCATTAGACATAGCTACAACTTCCCTCTCTTAATCACATACCCACGTTGCAGTTAATTTCCACCTGGGTGGCAGGTGACCACGTTCTGAACTTCCATTTTGGTGCTTACAAGAGCGATACCAGAAATTGCTCTATCTTGGTTACTCTCCTCAGGAGAGCACAGGTCTCTGCCAGCAACGCTAGGACAGCTCTCCTGAGCTTGGTTTTCCTTACATGCAACACGGTATGGAGCTCCCAAGCCTTGTCAACAGCTGACACAGCTTCTTCCACCTCCTTTTAAAAGCAGGGAGGCTTTCAAAGGCTTTTTAAAGGGGTGATGCTGCCTGCAAGCTGGGCCACTTGCAGGAGCCACTTCCCAGCTCCTCACCTTTTCCGCAGGTCTGTGTTATCCCGCAGGGTGGGCTCACTGGCTGACAGCAGCTTTTGGAGAAAAGCCCTTGCTTCCTTCCAAGCTCCACGGCCCAAGGCCATGAAGTCGTTGAGTGTTGGCTGCAAGGCGATAAAGAAGGAGGGCGGCAGATGAAGGGCATTTTTGTGGCCCTTCACGTGCACGTCCTGCATTTCCAAGCCTGYGTGTGGAAATCAGAATAACAGGCTGTGTTCTAAGTACCTGGTCAAAGACATGCTGATTTTTGGAAAGGGCTGGTCCATTGAACAGGTGCTTAACGACGCCGAGATCCAAAATCTGCTCTCCGATCGCGACTCCAATCCTGTGCCGAGGCTGCAAAGCAGGGAGAGGAAGAGGAAAGGAATTTATAATTGAACCCAAAATTGCCAACGGGGAAAGAACAAAGAGATAAACCTGTGAGGGACAAGGGACCAGTATCACAGCAAGTGAGCATGAAAAGCTCACAGATAGGGCTGCCCAGTGAAAAAATGCTAACAGCAGCTTCATGGCAGACTCCTTATAGACCTGCATGGGTCCGGGAGCACCTTCCCCTCATGCTGGTCTTTTGGGCAAGAGTAGGACAACAAAACGGAGGTGTCTCCTTTTCCCCTGAATACACGGGCCTTCATTACTGACCAGCACTTCTTATCCTCACACCTGAAACAGGCCAAGAGGCAGGAAAATGTCATTCTTCCCTCTACAGAAGAGGAACTGAAGCAAGAGAAACCAAGGACGGGATTCATCACATCTGCACAGTGATGTAATTGGAAGGAAACGGACATTTTTAAAGTCAGGTCCTGTGCCCGTTTCAGACAGCCCCTCGAGAAGATGAACAGGCTCCGGCTGCCACGTGCACAGCGACGGGACCTGGCAGGTCCTGCCAGGTCAGASGAGGCCCAGGCTACATTAACCCTCCTTGAGTCCTGCAAGAAGCCCGTGGCTCAAACCAGACCCTTGGCTGGAGTCCCAGCCCTAGGGAGGGCTCCCCAGGAGCCTGGTGACTCCTGCCCAAGGCTGCATTTGCTGGCTGGATATTAATAAACAAAGTCCCTGTTCTCTTGCTGCAGCCCTTGCAGGCCGCGAGTCAGCGGCACTGCTGAGCCACGCTACCAAACCTATTTTTTTAGCCTTTCATTTCTTTAAACAAGTTTCCAAATGTGATAATAAGTATTTATTCAGCAAACAGCCCTGCAAAATGTACTAAAGGTCAGGTCGTGTTAATCTGCAACTAGGATGTTGCAGACAGGAATGACATCAGCTATTTTAACCTGAAATCACTCAAACTTTGTGCCACTTCTGCCACTTTATTTTCCCTAAAGACCCAGAAACCCTAGGCTGCCTTTTAATAAATGCTTGTGTGAAACTGTTTCCACAATGGAGAAGAGATAAAAAAACAAAAACAAAAATGTTTGTTAAGATAACATCTAGGAACAGAAGAAAGAAACCTTCTTGTTTTTAATTTTTGGAAAATACAAGACGAGAAACCCTCCGGGTTTAAATTCTTCTTTTAAAACAGGTACTTTAACCTTGGCTATTGATAAGYCAAACGATCAGAAACGAGGACCTAGTCATGAAGCACCCACTAACAGTGATAAAAACATCCCCTTGTTTTTTCCCTTGAGGTATTTCTGCTCTTTTCCTTCCCTCCAGCAGGGCACATTTATAGGGCTCCAACAGGTCTGGATACTCCCTGGGATGGCTTTTCCAGGCACAAAACTCTGGTCTCAATTCTCATTAAAACAGCAACTGGGCACTTAGCTTATTTGAAAAAGTTTAACAGTGTTTTCCTGCATAACTGTCAGACCTACAGACCGCAGCCTTTGGGCAGAGCATTGAAGTCCTGCACACATTTAACGAGCCACTCCACTACATCTCACTATGAACGTGCAGTAAACAGACACAGGACAGGGGGAGGAGGAGAAGCAKCAGCTGCAAGGACAGAAGCGACCCTGGTGTTTTGTCCCCTGCTTTAGCGCCTTTGCACAGGTCCCACCGACCTCTGGAAGGGCAGTGGGAAGCACCGCTGCTCCCAGGACACGACACTCGCTGGCAAATCCAGCTTTTTCAATCCRGAGTTCCATTTTTACCTCTCTCAGTCCCTACTGCACAAAAGGAACAGGTCACTGCAGGATTCATCTCAGCTGAAATGCATCCTTAGCGCCCGTTTTTGAGGAGAGGGCAAAGGTCTGATTAGATTTGGCCATAAAAGAAATAAGAAATACAGAAAAAAAAAAAGTCAGTGAAAAATCTGTGACTTGCATCTACAAGGGGAACAAAGAGATCAAACACACACTGAAAGATTTCACAAGTCAACAATATCCTGAAGCTGTGGCATTCATTACCCAAAATATTTCTCTCAGAAATAGTAATGGTTTTTTTTCCATTTCTTCTGTGCAATGTTATAGCAGCTGCCATCCAAATAACAGGGGTAAAAACCAAAACCTAACAGTGTATTAGCTATAGTTTCATTTTCAAATTCAGAAGCCTGTGTGCAAGCATCTCAGCCTGCCTCGGAAGTTTTTCTTTGCCCCAAACTGCTGGGAATTCCTGCTCCTCTTCACGGCCTCTAATCACAGCAGCGCAGGGAGAAAGCGTGYGGTTACTCACCTCCTCCTTGGTGGAGAAAACCCCATAGGGGAGATTTTGCAGAGGAAAATGCGAGTTCTTGTCCACCTGGATGAAAGACATGACGAGCAGGTCGTGGTGCCCGCTCAGCCCCAGCTCTGCCGCGGGCTGCGAGRGGAGCCCGTCCCAGACCCCACCTCCCGTCCCAAGCCAATAGCCGGCGCCTCCATCCTGCCCGTGCCAAGATTCCCCGGGAGCAGCCGGGTTAATGAGCGCCAGGGCCTGCGCGYGTCAGCTCCGGCCATGGGCACAGGCCAGAAACGGCCTCTTGCTGCTGGGGAAACTTTTTGCACAAGCAAATAACTGTTCATCCCCCATCACGAGACCTGCAGCATCTCCTCTTTGCTTGGCCTATCAGGGGCACAGTAAGACGAGGAAAATTAAGGAGGAGTGAAGGGGAGAGAAAAAGGAGTTTTCAGGAAGGGAGGAAAGAAACCACTAATAATAAAGAGAAGCAGGATTCAACCCAGAAAGGCAAGAATTAGTGAATGAAGGGGAAAGTAACCCAAGAAACATCTAAAAAAGGATGATGGAGGCACAGCACAGAATGAAAGAGTAAGGGCAAGTTTAGTACACACTTGGAAATTAGAGCATCCTTGACTCATAAGACAGAACATTACTGAAGTGACTTACTTGCTCCCTCTTTTACTTCAAAAAAATATACCCTTTAAGAGCTTGTGCTTAAACTAGCTTTGAAAGAGGAAAATACTTCATGAATTACTGGRTCTTCCAGGTTACTTTCCAAAAACTTTGTAATAGAGAAACAGCCTCTTCCTSCATAGTGTTTATATCCTAAATGTGGCGCTTTATCTCCTAATTGCAGCCACAGCTTTTAAAGACCATTCAGAATTTTAAAGGATGCATCCAGCTTCAACCTATTTTTTAAACACACATTTTAAATGAAGCCAAGCAATTGCATTTATTCCACAAACGCCCAAAAGCAGCTTAAAAATCAGCAGCAAGTCACCGAGGGACTTTTCAGCTGCGGGATCAGTGCCATCTGGAGAGGCATTTGTTTCCGTGCCCCGCTCTGGGGGAAGCGACACTGGCTGAAGTGCCCCAGTGCTACATTAGCCRCTCGACCTTTAAGCTACACGGATGACTAGCAGGGCTGACGCAGACTCTAATCTGACAAAACAGACAAACTTCATTAAAAGAAAATTACTGAACATCCTCACAGAGGAGCAAGAGAACAAGCCCGTTTGCTCCCAAATCAGAAATACTTACAAGGCTGTAGATTCACCAAAGAGCACGTGGAAGGTGGCGATGGTCAACTTTGAAGCTGAGGGGTTTCACACCTCAGAATCAAGGGCACGTCCTGCCAAAATCATCTCAAGTGTCATCCTGTCATCTACTTTCAAATAGGTTACAAGAGTGCTCTGCATTTCAGCTACTGGATCATGAACTCCATGGCTCAACTCCCTARAAGCAGAATCACATTCGTGGAACAGAACCACACCTGAGAAATCACTGCCTAGTCAGCGACTTGAACAGACCGTGTCTTCCCCCTCAGCATCCCCTCAGGGTCAGCATGTTTTAGCAGAAAGGACGTTGCTCCTGCATGTGTGAATTGCACCATGCACAGGAAGCATGGGCAGAAAATTAATAACAACAATAATAAAAATCTATGGAGTATGTGTCAATGTACAAAATGTAGATTTCAGAAAAAAATCTGTGGARCATATATCAATATACAAAATGTAGGTTTCAGAAAACTGGCCTTCCCAATACTTATGARGAAACAGGTAGAAAACAGAAAATAGTCAGCTGGCGTTGACATGCAAGGCCTCTGAGGATGAACACACTGCACGTACTGAGTCACCAATGAAGAATCTCCATGAAAATAAAGCATAAGAAAGTACAAATCACAGATGCCAGTGACAGCCACAGGAGTCCTAATTTTTTAAAATTTTATTTAATCAAAGTTAAGACGTGGATAAACATAAATACAGCACAGGTACTTCAGATCATTCTTCATATTTGTGTACAGACAAACTGATGGATGTAATCCCGATGAAACCTGCAGTCAGTGAAGTGCATACAGCCTTCCCCCCACACACGCAAAAACAAAAATCAATTTTAAAAAACCACACAGACAATCTCAGCACACACTCTCATTACAAATGATTCATACATAAATAGGTAGAGGGTGCAAACAAGCTAATATGCGAACATGTATAACCTCTCATTAATGGGAGAAAAAAAACAAAACAAAAAACAGAAGCAGCCATAATGATTAAAATACATTCAGTTACTGATAACTAGTTGTGCCATACAAGGCATTATCAAAAAAAGGAAATTGTGCTGCAGAGAAAAGCTATATACAACAAGAAAATAAACTGCAAAGTTAACGCATGCATGTTTTACCTGGAAAAGCACAGCCCTCCAATATTTTCTCCATGTTTGTTATAAAAGCCCTCTGCACTCAACTAAAATTAAGATGATCTTAAAGGATAATACTTGTAAAGTTTACTTAAGTCTTCAGCCACAAAAAAAAACTGCAATGAAAATAAATGTTCAGTCATTTTCAAAACAAAAAAAACAAAAACAAAAAAATCTATTCATCTGATGACATGCATGATTAAAAGGTCTAGGCAAGATACACTGCTCTACATTCCTGATGACTAAGGAAAAAAAGCTCAAGTCAATTTAATCTGCAGATGGTCAGAGGATTTTGTATTCCAACAGAAGCAGCAGTTYAGATCTTCTGGATCTTTTCCCCAACAACTACAGGATTCTCTTTTCTGATTTTCTCAGCAGCATCAGCTTTGTAATTGTAAGAGCAACTGTGTACATCTGAATAACGGTGCATGCCGCAGTAAACGTTTCCACACCGACACTCAAACCCTGTGGACAGGAATATTGGCTTAGGCATTTCAGAATTACACAGGTTCATTTTAAATCCCGAATTTGCTCCTTATCACTAAGTTTCAGTCACTAGTAACAATCATCCAAACTGCCTCTGCTGTAGGAAGCATAAGAATCACAAATATTTAAGTGATTATAGAAATCTGACTAGGCCACTCCTTTCCATCATGATATACTAATACAAAACACGTTTGTGGAGACCTGCTGCTAGTTTGGGTTTTGAACCTACACCCCATAGAACTAATGTGCAGTTGAACCCTTGCACTGACCCCCTGCACAGGCTGCTCGGTGAATAGCAGCAGACTATCATCATCTGACTCCTCATCCAAGCAGACTTATGGGAACAGCATTTGGAATTAGGAGTTTTACTGAGGGAAAGCAAGCTTTCAAAAGGTCCAAAGACCAAGTTTCTCATAAGAAAAAAAAGCAGCATTTCTCACCAGTAAGTCCAACCTTCTTCCGACACATGAAGCAACGATTCTTTTTCTGTTTTGGCTTGTCAAGTGACTTGTCTTGTTCTTCAGCTGTAGGCTCTGCATTCTCCGACACTGAAGCTAATATGTAAAAAAACAATGAGAACAGTGGAAAGCGTCATCTTCTTCCCTTCTGCTGCCCAAGGCATAAGCTAAACAGAAGCCCATATTGTAAATGTTRGCTCTACAACTTCAATACAACTTCTGCTTCTGAAGTGATATTTACTCAGCTCCTGTTTAGAAGTAGTTAGGACTACATGGCAACACTACTGGAGCTCCCTTGCTTTAAGCATTATGTCCAAAGCAAGCAAAATAATTCACTGGTCATAAAAATTTTCCAGTAAAAAAATGCCATAAAGTCATACGTTTGATGCCCCCTTTATGTATCAAAATAGTCAAAAGCTACGATTTAAGACTCAGATTTCACACTGCCAGATTCCGGAGGGGTAAGAGAAGAACATTGAAGAGTTAGTGTTTCCTGCCAGGACTGCTCATCAGTCTCCTAAAGTTTGCTCCTAAGAAGTGCTGTATTTTACTGGGATCAGTTAAATAAAACACTCCTCTCTCCAAGTGCTGCATCAACACTATTTTTGCTGAAGACAGCAGGACTAAGGGCACACAGAATACAGTGTTCCAGAGCAATCTCTGTCCCGAGATGCCGCTGCTCCCAAGGAGTTGGTCATCTCCTAGGGATGATACCCTATTACCCGAAGATGCACAGAGCTGTCTRGAGGAGGCTCACTATCCAGAAAGTCAGGAGGAGCCAGGGAAAACACTTCTCACATTAAGGATATTTTTGTTGTGTTTTTTGTAAGGATATTTTGTGTGTTTTCAACCTACTTCAATTCTTTTTCACACCTGAATGAGGTTGCAGATTGTGTGAAAAAATACAATTAAATAACAATAGTATCTGGCTGACCCAGGTAAAAATAGCAAGYAGCAGTGCTTTCCCAGGACCAAAAATAAAAAGCCAGGAAAATAACTTCCCGAAGTGCTAAGAGCTGCTGTCTGCCTACCAACTATCACCAGATTACAGCAGGACAAGCTCCCAGGGATAAGGTGAAGGGAAGCTAYTGAATGAGAGGGTTTCAGCAAAGAACAAAGGGAGCGGCAGCTTGGAGGAACATCCAAGGCAGCAGAGCTAAATGCCAAGCTCTGGAGCAGGGAACACCACAGCAGGCCCAGGTATTTCTTCCAAGCACCCATCTACCCACCACACTGCAGACACCTCTGGGCATCTGGACGCTTATTAGGCAGAAAGGCAAGAGATGCAGCAAGTTGGTTCTGTGCCAACTGATCATTGCTCTGCTTGCTAATTGTGAGTTTCCCTTTTTTGTGCCATCTTAGAATGGATTTTTATTGTTATTATTACAGGGCACTTTGTTCAACACATACTGCCTTTTCAGAACGGGCGCTATGAATGTTTTCAGTGTAAAATTTACAAACCGATAAGCCACAAACTAGTAAAACAAGCAGATCMATAGCAGAGGATTTTTGTCATTAAGACTGGCAAACTGAAGAAAAGGGTAAACTCGGAAAAGCAGCCGCTTGGCAATTTATCAAACACATTCCACTTTGTATCAAGTAAAATCAGAGTGTAGCAAAACACCTGAACATCATAAAATATTTTGCAGAAATGGATAGTGTCTAGGTTAATCTAGCATGGATAAACTGATAAAAAAGGTTTATTAAATTCTTCAAAATGACCATCTATGTTGCAAGTTACAGCTTTTATCCTGAAATTTATAGGAAATTTAACAGGTTTGCAAGAAAGGCTCAGTAGCTTCAAATGGCTGTTGAAGAACATATTTCAGTGGCAACCAAGGGTTTTCAAGGGAAGTATAAAACGGTAAAAGAATTACAAGATGCAAAATAAGAAGTACTTTGGTTTAATGGAGTGAATCCTTGCATGTTATACAAAACAGACATCCTGGTGTTTATTATTTCATAAAGAAAGCTTTATGTCATGAATTGGCATTCAGCAGCTAGCGCTCTCAAGTTTGCATTGCCTCCTGTAGCAAAATGGTTACCTCAGTGTAAGATTTTACAAAAAAAAGTCTTTGTAAGAATTAACCAAATTTAGGAAAAAAYGGCACTCTCTTCTGTATAACCATGTAGCTAATATATTCATACTTCCATTTACTTTGTGAGCACTACTCACACACTAAAATGATTTAAACACATTTAAGGGCTGTTGCTGACTGCARAACTGAGCGGGAAGGTTCTCTCACTGCTCTCACGAGTCACTTTGTAGCTATTGTAGCAAGCACAAATTTTAAATTCTCCATTTGTTTTCTGAAGAAGCCTAAGAGTTAACTCAAAAATCCTCTTGGGGAGTCAAATATCACAATCATCAAATAATCTTTGGGTGAGTTCAAGGTGCTAGTGTTCATCGCTCCATCTGTAAGCTTGCTGTGATGAACACAAGAGCCAGATAAAATGCAACACTGTGCAAGCTCGGAGCTCTCAGGAACACGTTCCCACCACTCCTAGTTGCTGCATTTTACCCGGATTCCTGGAAGCTCCTGCCTGTTCTGCTCAAACTGATTCCTTCCCCTCCTATAGTTAACTAGAGGAAAGAAGCATTCAAAGTACCAGTAAAAACTGTTAGTTAGCCTAAGAGGAGCCTTAGCAAAAAATAAATAAATAAATAAAAGGCCACACAATCAGAAAAACAGCCTCCCCTCCAAAAAAAATTAAAATAATAATAAAAAAGCAGCATTCATTTCTCTGCATGAGCCTCATTCATTTCTCTGCACCTGAGCTGCCACTAAGTGCTTACTGTGTTACAGAGGGCACTCTTAGCTGATGAAAATCGGACCCTGGATCTCCTCCTGAAGGCAAAAGCTTTTGCCAAGGGTTTGCTTCATCTYTGGTGTGCTAGAGCTGCCTAATAAAAAGCAAGTTCAAATACACTGGGTGTGAAGGGCATCCCTGTCCTTGCACCCCTGCAGGGACAGCACAGAACACTGACAGGTTTCTTGCAGGGCTCTTCACTCTTCATCCAGTTTTCTCCCTGATCCCTGCCCTTCRTGTTTTGGGTTTGTTGATCCCCTGTTCAGATGGGGCTTCTGAATGGGGATGAAGTTCATTCCTGCAGACAGATGACTAAGGGGTATATTTACCTTTGAAGTGTATCTGATCAAGCTTAAGAATAGCCATGCCTCAAAGGAATGCAGCATCACAGTTAATGTTAACCAGAAGATCACCATTTCCTTACATCTCAATACCTACAGCTGAAGGGATCAATCAMGACACAGTAGCTACATTAAAGCTCAAAATTGGCTATTGGTGCCTGCTACTTTTTTCCAAGTAAGCTAAAACTGTACAGGGGGTTGTTGCCACCTCTAAGGACGGGACAAAAAAAGGGTAAGTTTTTAAATCAGTAGCTCTTGACACTAAGCTTCTATACCATTTGAAAAGGTATTAAATATTGAATTCTTTCCACTCAGACTAGCCTTCTACCAGCACAAGCATTACAGCAAAASCTTTATTTAAAAGGTCAACGTAAAAGACAACAAATATTCCCCTATTTTTACTCAAATAAGGTTTACCTACATATTCTTGAACTACTTGAGTCCCTTTTAGAAGTTCTGTTCTCCCAGCTGACCTAAAACCAGCAGCTGAAACCAGCATCCCACATCCCCCAGCTGCATAGGACGTTGCCAAACAAACTTTTACAAGTTCCAGTGCAGGGAAAGATATTTCCCCTCCTCATCCCTTATTTTTCAAAAGGAGCCTGCAGATGAAGATCAGAAAGATAAAGGCCCCACACACTCTTTGGACTGAAAAAAAAATTGGATTCAGTTCCTTCAGTCAAAGACTGATAAGGGGATGCAAACACCAGAGATGAAGGCCTCTTAGATGAAATGGGACTATGTTTAAAAGCATAATTAATTRCTAAGGCATCTTCTTTAAAATTAAGCTTATTCTGTGGTCTGGATATTATGACAATGAAGCTAGACAGTTGGATAACTTTATTTTTAAAATAACTTCATCTGTTATACAATTCTACTTAGGAAACCATGATCTGTTAGCATGGAATTTATCCTTCAACTCCCACTTACCTTAATTCATTAACTATTYGTTTTCCAAACCAACAAGAAACAAATACTAACAGATACTCCTTAAAATTCTCAGAACAGAAGATGCAGAAGAGGCAGTTATCTTCTAAYGAGAAAATACAGGGCTCCATATCAAGCCCAAAACGTCAGTCATGACTTTGGATCCAGCCACTATGACAAGGTCTTCAACCTAAACTCAGCTCTTGAACCATCTCCCCTGCACAGAGCACCACCACCACAACTTAGCCCTTCTGGGAGAGAGGGAATGTGGGGCTTGGGGAGAGAAGAACTGATTCCAGTGCTTATTCCTGAGGTATCATTTACAGGACAGTTTGGAACAGCTGCTGGTTCCATCATCTTAAGAACTCCTGTGTTTGAAACAGGTCAGGCAACAACAAASAAGTTTTAAATTGGATTTTCTCCACAGCTAAACTGAGAAAACCATTCTCTAAAGCAAAGGTTTCTGGTCATTCCTAAGAAGGTGGTTTATTTTCTCATTGGCTTGTCTACATGTCAGTCTCATCAGCTCAATCTGACCTCCTTCCTTGAGGTTAAGACCTTCAGAGGTCAAAGTAATCAAAAGCAACTACTAGAGGATGCAGAGGATCTTCCTCCAACCCCCATCTGCTTCTAAACTGTTGCAAATCCAYGTAAAGCTAGAAAAGTAATGTACTTTCTAAACTACAAGCTACATTTGCATTCTAGGATATGAGTGTAGATACTGGGCCTTTTCTTGAGAGAGTTTGCTATGCAATATTCATTTTGTATAAGCTTAGATATAAAAAACTGGGAGGTATGCCAGACATTTGACTGATATTCTATAGGGACTGACAAACAGCAGCAGAGCAAAAGCATAAGAAAGAAGAAAGATCACAAGAAGGGAAGTGATAAACATCTAGTGACAGAGCTAACATGAAAGTTACTCCTAGTTTTATCTAAATTCTGGGAGCAGGTAAAGTGAAAGATGGATGAGAACAAAACTAATGGCTGAAAAGGAAAAGCATGCAAAGAAAAAACTGCTTCACAGTATTTAAATTACTCACAGAAGAACAGATAAAAGGAGAACCAAGTCATTTAGCAATAAGATGTTAGTAGCAGATCACAAACAAGTTATTTCTTATGAGTATGAACCAGAAATTAAAGCTGAAAAGAATCATGTCACCTTAAGCTGCAAGAGCAGCCTTTGGAGTTGAGCAGGAAGTTATAAGGAAGTTAAAAAGAGAATCTAGTACATAAATTAACAATGTTAATATATAATGTTAGTAGGAATGCACAAAGTAAAATAAGATAGGAGAGCATACACTTACCTACAGAATTTAGTTTTAAAACTGTATCATGCACGTTTCCTTTCTCCCTGTAGCTGTCATCCAGCAAATCAGGACATTCTACATTATTTTCTATGCTTGTATGGTAATCACACTCTGCCTCCGAGTCCCTGGTACTGTCATGAAAATCTGAAGTATCCATCAACTCCTTTCCAGTACTGTCTATTGAAAGGTCCACTGAAGTTGGTGCTATTAGTCAACAGCATACATTTCAGGTCCAGTTTTCCATGCAAAATTCTGTAGCAACTTAGTTTAATACTATTTTAAAATGTTTATCAGCAGTGACTAAATTATTTAACTCTTTCAAATTAAAAAAAATTAGATGAGTATGAAAATCAAGAMATCATTGAAGAGAATAGCAATTTACCTTTTTGTTTGTTATGTAAATTGACAAGTCATTTTTCCAAATATGATAAAACTAAATCATATTATATCACTGATTCTATTCTGTAATGTTAAAACATAGACCATTGACACTTGCAATATATTCCAGAAAAATCAGAGAAGCTCTTTTGGATCTCAGTARTTTTCAGGCTCCAAGAGGCAGCATAAACCTCTTAGTGTCTCTTTCAAAGCACTTCAAAGCTACCCAGTAGACAAAGTCTCATAAGAAAAAGAGCACTCTGACAGTTCTCCTGAGTCAGGAATGGCAAAAATGCCTTCATCTGGACAGCAATAACACTCAAAGTAGCTGAGCTCATCAACAAGGTTTATAGTTTTAGCCTTACATTCTTGAGTTGCAACAGCTCCAWAAAGGTTTGCCATGGAGGACAGGAGCCTTCCCAAAATGTTTTGTTTACCTTTAAAAATATCCATGAGATATAGAGTGTAGATCTTAACCTCATTTTTTTTTTTTAAACTCATTAACCCTACAAGTGTAGGGTGCCTCTTCACTTGCTTGCAGGTTTGCCAAGAAACAACTCCATTAATACACTGGCCAACACAGGGGGAATAGCTGCTTGTACCTGGACTATAACATTGAGTTATAGGCACAGCTGCCCATGAAGCACCTCTAAAATTAGTTTCCTTTTGCATTTCTTTTGCAATGCATAACTTGAGTGAAGAAAAAAACAAGAGTAAAATTAAGAGCTGTTTATCTGTCTGTAGCTGTAACTTTTCTGGAGGAACAAAGGACTGTGTGCACACAGCTCAAGTCCTGTTCATCTGTCCGCTTTAAAAGATAACCTAAGAAAGTACAACCAAAAATACTATTCAGCTAACTTGCAATTTATGCTATTTTGGCCCAGTAACTTTTATTCAATAGTAAGTTAAGAGGACTTCTACACAACACTACTAGCTTACTATACAATTACTGTAGAACAGTTTGTTCCCAAAAGGGTATTGTAACGAAGCAAGACTTTAATCACAACATATAACTAATGAATAAGTGAACAAAGCAGACACTTWCTTTCCTTCCTCCCCTTCACTAACCTAAGCAGTACTATGAACTCTGCAGACACTACCTTTCACGGTACTTGTATTTCTTTTCTTCCTCTAATATACATAGCCAGGCAATACTAAATAACTTTGATTGATGTATTTCTACTGCTTTCCTACAATTCAAACTCTAAATGATTTAAAGAAAAAAAAAAAAAAAAAAAAGAAAGATTTCACAACCATCACTGGAAACATGATTCAATGAAATGCACCTAGCATCCACTAAAAAGTGCTTTATTTACAAACTCAGGCTTTCAAAACAAGAAGTTTAATACTGGAAACACTAAGTTTCTGATAATTTTCACTCAAGGGGTAGCACAGAAATGCTCTTAGGATATGAACTGTACTTTAGAACTCCAACTACTTTSTTCTTCTCAGTTTGGGAATCACTAAAGCACAACAAAGAGACCATCATAAACATAACACAGCTGCAGTCCTCTAAATATCTGGCATAGCTCTAAACCTATGGTGTGAAACAGGAATATGGGAATATAACCTTGAAATCAAGGCTTAGGGTTTGGTAACCTATTTCCTCACTGAAAGGAGTAATTTTCTAGGTAGAAAATTTAGACTAACTGTATCTGAATGATAAGAACAGATAATTCTTCTGAATGCCAACTCACAGGCCCAAGTCAGATGACTGTAAAATAAAGGGCTCCCCCTTTCTGCTCTCCCCGTCTATTCCTGCAACATAAAAACATACTAGATGCTGCAAACCTGAAGTTTCAATGTACTAGTTTTTCACATTAGATAGAAGACGGAGAGTCATAAGACCAACAAGTTTTAGAAGCTTTGGAAGCAGTAAGGAAAAAGGGTAATAGGTCAATAGAAAAAAAAATCATCTTACAGAAATTGATTTTTATATCCCCCAGTATTCCCTGATATAGACCGCAACCATATCAGTTTACCTGCAGTGCAAACTTTATATCCCCACTGAAGCTTCTACTTCTACTTTTCTACTTTTCACCCATTCAGGGCCAAATAATTTTCTGAAAACCACCAGTCTGTGGTTCAATAATTTTATCTTTGATAACATGCATTTCAATGGTTCAAAATATTACCTCATATCAATGCAGTTGGTAATGGAAAGGTGTCTCACGTGCAGACTAGACAAAAACACAACTCTCACTATAACAGCTATGCGATAACATCATCACAAATACATTCACACACAGCTGTTGTATTTGCTAAGCTGCTTGCATTGCTCTGAGGTCCAACAGATATTCAAAACTATTTACATATGAAAGCTGTGACAAAGCCTGAATAATATATTTATTCATGCTGTACATTCCCAGCCCCAATAACACATACATACTACAGCAGATACCAAAATCTACAGCTACAGGAAGTTGAAAAATTTCAATTTGTCTTCTCTTAAAATGTAGATAAGATAACAAAATAAGGATATACTTTATTTCACAGAATATTTACTTTTGAGTCACCCATTGGACGGGCCTATATTAAAAACTGTCAAGTTTCAAAAATGTTACCCATAAAATTAATCTATGACCACAACACCAACCTTGCAAATCTTCTGTCTCAGGTACTGTTTTATCCACAGCYGCACTATCCGATGGGGAAGATGCTACAGATTCTGTTAAAAGTGACTGATTTGACACAGGGCTGGAGGGGAAAAGAAGAAGAGTTAAGATTTCTTATGAAGGATGTCCACGTTCTATGTAGCATTCCTCATAAAAATGTTAGAGTTCTTGAACTGCTGGTCTGCTCCACAACAGAAGTGTATCATCAATTTAACAGACATGTCCTCGGGGTATCATAATTCTGAGGTCAAAGCCTTGTTTTTATTTTAGGGGAGGGAGAAGTGACCCTGACTTTTTTGAAGTGCAAGCCTGAAAGCAACCAACTGCTTGTCTCTTCTGTACCCAATAAGCTAGAGATCTAGCGGTCAAAGATGACTTTTTTAAAACAAAACAAAACGTGTTAAGGGTAGGGGCAATAGGGAGGGAGGCACTTTAACTGGACCTCTGTGTAGGGACCTGGATGAAAAAATGCACCTCTCCCCCATCCAAGGGTTGTATAGAGCAAGATATTCACTTTGTACCTCAACTAGAAATCCCAAATGCAGTGCCAAGCAGGCACGTGGCATTCAGTTCACCTTCCAGCCCTGAGCATGAGTTAATACCTCTTATAAAAAGCTCAGGAGCCAGAAACAGGCTGATCAGAATCAGTCAACTGATAATATTCAGCTCTACTTACCTATGACCCACATTATTTTTAAAATTAAAAGTGTAGTGCAAAGTCTGAATTAAATTCAGCTGCAAACTACTTTATAACTGTCTATCTTCTTTCACTCCAAAAAAATTCCAGAGTACTTAAAGTTGCTGTTGGTTGTGTCATTCTACACTGAAATGCAGTGATTGTCCAATACAAACAAATACTTAACTTTTAAAAATGGAAAGTACTTAGGGAGCCTCAGAGTGATTTACAAGAGACCACTATGTCTCCTTGAACAACTGAGTTGGAAATAAAATTACTTGTTTGATACAAAACAACAGTTCAGTAGCACAGCTTACATTAAGGCTCACACATCTTTTCCCAATACTTTCTGCAAAAAAAAGTGGTTTGTTATTACATTATTATACCTTGATGTATAAGAGTACTAGTCAAGAGCTTTCTCCCATTTTAGAAAAAAAGTCCCTCTTATTTCTATGAACTCTCCCTTTGTAAATATACCATCAACTGCACGGAGAGGAGTTGGAAGATGAGCCAGACAAATCTYGGTAGCACTGTACGAAACTGGCAATGCTGCTATGGGAGGCTAAATTCTGAAGACAAATTTGCATTTGAATGCAAGACATAGTTAAGATCAACTACTGCTTACTGCGAGATTGCTAGCTTTAGAATCAGCAGTTAGATGTTGCATATTATCTGCAGAATTACCTGCATGTTATTTTCAGGGCTCAGAATTTAATTATGCAGAGTTAGAGCAGCCTTAGTTTAACCCTGTTGATATATATTCAAGGAAAAACACAAAACAGTAACAACACCAACAAGAAGAGTTTACCTTTGCTGCATAGATGGAGTTGATGTAGAATCTAAAGTTGACTGAGTTTCCTGGGCACTGCCTTCTGTGCACTGAACCGGTAGGGACTCGGTTATACTACTGACAGAAGTTGCTGGAAGGAAGACACTAATGTAAAATGTGTTACACGACCTCCTGGGACTGCATAAGTTACACACAATGTAATTATTCTCCCAACCCCATGTCAGCAGCCAGGAAAGGAACTGAACATGTGCTTGCAACCCTTGCCGAGTCTCTGCCTGGATCATAATGAAGCATAATTTCACCAAGAGTAATTATGTTTGGCCACGTTTTGATCATGCTGGGCCCCAAGAAGTTCCTCAGCACAAAGTTTCAGAGTAGCAGCTTTAACAGAGTATCTTCTGCTACTTAAARCACTTACAAACATCCCACTGCACTTAAGCTGTGTTGCAACAGCATTCTCTTGGTGTTGTAATAATCAAAACTGGATATATAACAATATCCTAATGTCGCCTTAGAATCAATTTAAGTTGCAGAACCTATACCCCTAGATTTCATGTAATGGAAAATGTTTCCATATTAAAAGTCTTCAACAAAGTGTGACAGGACATTTCTTGGTGTCAGGATTCAACGAAGCCATAGGAGACATTTGAATGTGCAGGGAAGCATCCCCTCACCCTCCTTCCCCCATTATGCTGAAGTTCAAAACATCAGGGTGAAAGTCAGCACAGAGAGTGTCTTTCTTGGCACCGCCACTGAAGAGGAGAAAGTCCTCTGGTTTTTCCAGGAAACTCAAAGTAGGAAAACAGCACTTATTTCAATGGGTTGGACAAACACGCTTTGGAAGAACGACTACAGTGCATTAGGCATTGAGCCAAATAGGGAAAAAAGTGTCATATCTTAGTCATATAAAGTTAGGAGAAATTATTCCAAGAWAAAGCTTTGGGGGATAATCCTTTGGCATCAGGTTCCAGTATATAAATACTTGTATTTCAAATGCTTTGACTAACATTCCCCAAGTTAAATGTTATCTTTATCCTCCAGCAGTTTCAGGCCGAAGAATGCTGGTATAGTGTTTTGCTGCATTTTTATCTTGGAATTCAAAACACCTCTATTAATACAAAAGGTATCAGCAACAGTTTACTTACTGGCAGATTAATTACAGCATGCTTATACCATTTAATCTAAGTTTATTCCATCAGGTAAGACATTTAAATAGAAGACGGTGGTTTGTGCTAATGTTCCTGCGCTTCCAAGTGCATTTAGCATTCAGGCCCGGTCAGCAAGCAGGTCTTGCCCTACTGCATCATCTGGAGCTGCTCAAACAGACGGCAGAGCGAGTGGCTCCAATCCAGCACGTCAGCCTTACTTACCAGGAGGGCTAATTCTACCATTGCTGTTCTGCCTTTGAAGATGTTCTTTGTAGCAGACTGAACACATGCCGTTCGTGCGAGGGTTCCCGTAAAATCCACAACCAGTGGAACACAGCATGGGCACTTGGCTACGGTTGGTTTCTTGAGCCATTTTCCCTTCTTCTGTCAACCTGAAATTGATACATACAGCTTGTTATGCAGTGTCATAAGACCACCCCTCATTAGTGGTTATATTCAGAAATGTGAAGTTCCCTATGCTTTGCCAAAAGAAATCTTCTATACTGGTAAATAYAGACTTAACCCCCCAGTGTATCTATGTCCTTTCTTCAAGGGGAACCTATACATTCTGTCCAATAACATTAATACAACAGTACATAAGCCTTGCATAACTCAGTCTCTTTCAGCCCCATCATTTTATGATCTGCATACAGTTTATATTGAAAAATAGATCTATTTATCAATTTTTAAAAATGCTGGAGGTTAACTTGCTACTAGAAGTGGGAGAGAGAGGAGAGAAGTACACACTCTGAACTCGCCTTGAACCTTGTACTCCTGATACTGTGAACGAGAGCTATAAAATGGAAGGCAAGCAGGGCAATATGCTTACTTACTGCACAGTAATTAGAATTAATAATAGCCACATGAATTCCCAGCTTACTACTTCGCCTCTGCGTCATTAGCAAAAGACAACAACTGCTTACCACAACCTGCATCAGGCCTTATTTTTATTTTTTAAATGCATCCAAAGAACATACCATTTTTCAGGCAAAAACATTATACTGGACACACACACCCSCTCTAATTCTGTTTGAAAGCATAATAAAAATAAGAAATAAAAGTAGTATTTTTTTTTAAATAAAAATGCAAACAAGTCACAGTACTTTATCTTTGGCTTGTACAGATCAATAAACCTTCTTAATAAAGTCACCACAAACAACCATCTCTTCCAAAGAGCTTTTTAACTACTCTCAAGTGGCCTAACTCATAGGTTAAGATATTGAAATCTGCCACTCAACCAACCACTCAGCTGATTCATTTAGTCTCACCAATTCACATACAAATTTTCAATATTTTTAAAATATCTTCAAGCCTTTTTTTGCACAAATTTTGAAAGACCCAAATCCACCCCATTAAGGAATAAATATTTCAGAGTATTGTTTTGCTCGAGGTAGTTTGTGCCTACCACTTTATACACCTCAATTCAAAAGAGTAAGATGTCTCACTGACAACGGACAATATTAACTCAAAACAAGTTTTAACGTCACAGGGAGGCCAGATTCCTATAAGCCAACRTTTCAAGTAGCATCTATATATGTTTCAAAAGCAGAGAAATAAAAACCCAGAGGGGAAGGGGCTTCAAGACATTGGAGTACTTCACCACTTGCCAAGCTATAAAGTTCAATTAAACCACAGTGATAGGTAGAACACAGTAAAAACATCCTCTTTTATGTAAGCTCAAAAAAAAAAAAAGCAAGTTTCTGATTATTTTGCTTCTAGACAGTCTCATCTCCCCTGCCGCCCACACCTATTGCATTGTGTTGCTGTTTTATTACCCAAARCCCTATGAAATTGATACCTCAATAGCAAATCTCCAGGTTGCAGCAGCATCATCAAAAYGACAGCTTGGTCTTCTGCTCAGGGCAGTTACCTGCTGTAGGGAGCAAACACTATTCAAGACACAGGACAAGGGAGATGTACAGGCAGGAAGGTGATAAATGTCACTGAGAGTATCTCACTCAGCCTCAACTTGCAGCTAAGCTCAGTTCAGCTGTTTGACTACACCATGATATAGGGCCTTTGCTTTCACAAGGCTCCCATTCACCTTAAGCAACAACTGAATTTGATTTTGTTCAAGTTTTGCACTTGCRGCACAAGAGCATTCCCATTCTTCTCTTCTCCAAATAGCCCTTAAAAAAGTAACAGCAAACACCACATGTGGGAATTCAGTTCTTACACTGGGTCCAACATTCAGCTAAGTCCTGAGAGCAGCCTTTAAGCACAGCTTCTCTGGGCCTGGAGAACTCAAGCTATGATAGAAGAAATGCGAGGCAAGCCAGCCTGGATGCCAACTAAGTTCTATATATTGACAAAAGCAAAAAACTTCTACACAGATTTTTTAGTGGCTTATAAAGACTTGGTGCCACAATCCAAATATTACCTTTTCTTTTAATATTAAGAGAGTGGCAAATAAAAAAAACCCATCACACTAACTTTCCAGAAGTTACCTGATTATAGTTCCATTTAGCAGACTGCTCCAACCAGCATGCTGGAATGCAACAGGAACACCAGTTATTCTAATTTTTATTATTCCCTGAAACAACTTCAATACCTAAAGGGACCCAAAAGCAAGATAATTGCAAAAAAAAACAATTTCTAATGAGAATTAGGGAGAAAAAAAAAAATGGGCCAATCTGGTAAACAAGTTGTGAAAGGGCAAAAAGATGCCCAGAAGAGAAACAAGAAAAGCTGGACTGAGTTCCAGCTCAGCCAGTTCCCCAGTTCATTAACCAGCGGATCCAGCCAGCAGTCAAGGCCCAAGCCACTGGCATGAGGCTTTAGAGCACTTCCAACTCCAAGGGAAGTGCCAGGGATTCCTCYGAGGAGTTTTAACAAAGGCCACAGGAAGTGGAAGATCTTCCCGGGGTTGCTAATATTGGGGGAATAAAATGCAGCAGAGATGGTATCAAAGTGCCAAAGGGGTATTAAGCAAAGCTGAACTACTGCAACAGCTTCTTGTGCTCGGAAGCCAGCAGTGACACACGCTGCCCACACCTGGGCCCTCATCAACCCAGCAGAAAACTCAGCGTGAACACTGTAGAACAGACAGTTTGTAAAGTCATCAAGGTCCTTGAGAGGGTTGAAATGATGTCTGGACTATTACATTTAATAAACTACAGATCAGCAAACTAGTATACTAAGATTTGCTCTCCAACTTCTTATTCCCATTCTGCTCCTCCTCTTTTGCTACCATATACTGAAACAGTCCAGGGAAGCAAAGTTAGGAAACCAACTTCTTAATCTTTTGCCAGATTAGTTTTAACGCAGACCAACTTCCCCGTTCTGGTTTGTCACTATTTATTTATTTTGGCACGAGAGAAGCGCTAGGGCGGTGGGGAGGCTGCAGAAGACGCGTGGAACCACTTTGTCCAGCAACAGCAACAGCCTTCYGGGCTTCAAGCGCCAGGAAAGCATCGCCCAAACGCGAGYGCTGGGTGCGTGAGCGAAGGGACAYGTGGGCACTGGCAGCTGCAGCCGCTGAACTTCAGCCCTGCCTCTTGGCCAGGCCTYCCTGGGCGCAGGAGGGCAGGGCCGGGGTGACACGGGGCTCTCCTCGCTCTGCACTGGGGCGCAGCAGCCGGGCCCGGCTCGGCCTCCAGCAGCAGAKGTTTCCAGGGGAAGGGAGGACCCTCTTCCCCTCGCTTCTTGGCCCAACTTAGGAAGATTTGTTTTAAAATTGTCTGTAATCTCTTGCACAAAAAGGTCCATAATATCTCACAGCCCAACCATCGCATAAGCGAGTAATGGTGGCCTGTCACTGAAACTGCACCCTTGACAGGGCTGTGAAAGGGGTGATCCTGCTCTCCCGGCCCCATCCCTGCTGTGCGTTCCCACCTCTTCCTTTGCTTTGCATCTAGCAAACACACAGTGAGTCAGATCAGCTTATTCATCTGATGGAAAAACAGGAATTGTTTTTGGTAGAGCAGATAGCTTTCTCATCTAACAGAAGACCAACTGTAAAATRAAAGACCAACTAGAAAACTGAGGTTTTCTGTGAAGAAAGCAGTATGGCTGAGGACACTGCTTCTTCCATCACTGCTCACCATTACAAGGGACCTACTTCTGTAGAACATCTCAAGTGTATTTTCCCACCTGCAGTTTAAAAACTGGCCTCATCACTTGACTTGAGCACAAAAAAAAAAAAAACCTTTAATAGTTGGACTAAGGTATAGGGACCAACATGGTGCTGATGCCCATCCTTGATTCAGCTTAAAGACAAAAACAATCTCCAAAACCCTGCAGTACTTTAGGCATGTTCCCTTGTTTGTGTTACCATGCCCTTGTACAACCAGTTGTGTGAGTGCTAATGAGAGGGGAAGCACACGGGAGGAGAGGACAAGAACCTTCAACAGCTCCCTCTGTCCCTGCATGGCCCCGTGACATCTGTTTTTGAAGTCTCTGGAAAAAAAATTCACATTGTGCAACTTGAATGTTTCCCGAAATAAATTGTTAAATTGTTATCTCTGTGCTTTCTTACTACTCAATGAGCCCAAAAACAGTGGTTGTCCCCAGCAGGCTGCAGAGCTGTGTGCGACCAGGCTAAATCCTTCTTTTACCCACCTGGAGGGTGTTTACAGCCTCGCCGTTCTTTGGGCATCTGTAATGCCTGATGCACTCAAGTCCCACATGAAACCTGTATTACACTGGGTTTATTAAAATTAATAAAGAGCTGACATTGTGGAAATGTTAGAACATGGTAAGTTTAGACATTGGGTTTTCTGGAAAAAAAAGAAAAAAGAAAAAAAAAAAAAGAAAAGCTCTCTTCCAACACCCTGCAAAGTAAGTAACAAAAATTCTTGTTTAAATCCTTTCCCCTGGATAATGGATATTTTAATTAAAATGTTTATATGCTACTAGTTTCAAATAACCAGTACTTTTAGCTTTACAGGCTTCAAATATTAATCACCAAGATCAAGGGAGCAGCATTTAGTAATATTAAACACACGTGGTTTAGAAATAAYCTCTCTTTCTCTCCATAAAAAAAGATCCCATTGAGGATCAACTTCCTCTTCATTTGTCTTCCTCAAAGAAAAAGGTCTCTTACCATCCCAATGAATAAACATGAGCGAAAAGGAAGYAAGAGGAAAACCAGAAGGTATCTAACCTAATCCCACTCTAAAAGYGAGTCCCATCACAATTTACGGTTTCTCATTAGAGCCTGTCAGCACCAAATAGGTGCCTCGCATGTGGACAACTGCTATCGTCTTGCCAGTGCTTTAAGTCGAGGCAGGGAAGGCAAACACACCCTCCCAGCAGCTACCCTGGCTTCAGCCTTCCCCAGCACACGTAGTTTGTGCTCTGCAAACACTCCCCAAATCCATTCCTGGTGTGAGACAGAGCCCTCCCAAATGCTAATGCTGCAGCAGGAGAGACCACCCAAACAGCACTTTGC